GTATATATTCTATATTGGAGGTGGTAAATGTATATAGTGAATTGAAATAATATTTTATAGTTTATTTCCTAAATATATATATTATATTCCTCATGTAAGAACATTTTGAATCACAGGAATACCCATATATTAACATAACTTTATACATCTGTAATTTTTTCAAGAACAACGCCATCTTTCCGGTTGTGTTGTAAACTTGTAATTTGAACTACAAACGCAACCCTCACGTAAGCATTGGTGTGTAAAGACAGAGGGCATTTATGAGCACCCTGAACTAGACCAGGAGAAGAATCAAATCATTTTCAGGGATGAAATGTACATACCTTTAGTAAATGTAATAAGTACCAAAATCCCATGTAATACAGGTGAGGCGAATTAGTGCCTAGTCGTCATGATCATAAATCACTATCAGTTAAAAATTCTAAGTATGTCAGTCACAAGACGTCCACTGCTAGTAAATAAGTTTAATTATATTTTTTTTTTTCATTAATTTTAGTTTGTTTGCATTTTTACTTGTCGAGTGTTATTGCCCAATGGGCCGAATTAAATATGTTTTAAGTGTGGGAGAGCCATGCTTCGGCACGAATGGGCCGGCTCGACCGGAGTGATACCACGGCCTCATAAAAGACCGACGAATGAAACAACGCTTGCGTTGTGTTTCGTCGTGTGGGTGAAGTTATCGGAGGCCCAAAGTTCCCCCTACCCCTTCCCTGAATCCCCAACAATTTTCAAATTCCTAATGCCAAAAGACCGGTAACGCACTTGTAACGTGTCTTGTGTTCTAGGTGTCCATGGGCAACGCCGATTGCTTACCATCAGGTGTTCCGTCTGCTCGTTTACCGGCTTACTCCATAAAAAAAATGTACATTTTACAAGCGTATGTTTTGACAGTTTATTAAAGGCATTCAACCTGTATTGACGTATACTTTATTTGACAAACTCACTCTTATTAATCTTCCCGTGACGTTTAATTCACATTCCTCTTGCGTGAGCTCCTACAGGCTTGCAAAAGCAGTACCATTTAAAAATCACAAAACACTAGGATAACATACTTCCCAATAAAACAACACTTAATTTATAAAATAGCTTTATTGCAAATAACACAAGATTGTATAAAATTCACTTAAAATATGATAAATATTAAAATACTCCACTTATTGTCTAATCTGGCATGAATTTTATATATTTTCATTAATTTACTAGGATGAACATTTCTGGATAATATAATAATAGTCTTATAATCGAATTCAGTCACTTCTTCAGGTAGAAAAGGTAGGCATTTAGAAAGATCACGCCAATATAGACCTTATTCCAAACAACTAAGTAGGAAACTAAGCAACTGAATGCAAATATAAAATCTACACAATTCATTGCAACATTACAATAATAAATTTAAAAAGTAACAAGTTTGTAGCCGGATTTCAATAAAAAAACGAAATAGAAAATAAAATCTGGCATTTAGTTAGAAGGGCCAGAGGCAAAGTGGGGGACTCGAAAGTAAGTACGATAAGGGATATAAATGGGAGTGTCATTGGAGAAAGTAAGGATGTTTTAAAGCAGTGGAAGGAATACTTCGAGAATTTATTTGAAAGGAGTGATTTGAAAGAAGAGGAAGTAAACGATGAGAATGAAAGTGCTAATGTGGGAGAAATAAATATGGATGAAATTGTGAGTGCCATTAAGAGTTTGAAAGTAGGTAAAGCAGCGGGATGTGATAGGATAACTTCTGAAATGCTAACAGAGGGTGGAGGTGTAATTGCAAGCCTGCTGTATCTACTTTTTAATAAGTGTTGGCGGTGCGGTCGTGTCCCGGGAGACTGGGCCAAGGCCGTAATTGTGCCACTATATAAAGGAAAAGGATCACAGCAGGAGTGCAAAAATTATCGCGGTATAAGCCTCCTAAGCGTAGTAGGAAAGTTGTATGCCAAGGTATTGATCGAAAGAGTGATGGATGTAACTGAGCGTAAAATCTGGGATGTGCAAGCGGGATTTCGAAAGGGAATGGGGTGTACGGATCAAGTCTTTTCGTTACGGTGCATTTCAGAGAAAGTGTTATCAAAGCACCAAAAGGTATTTTGTGCCTTTATAGACCTAGAAAAGGCTTATGACAGAGTGGTGAGGGATGAACTGTGGTCAACTCTGTCCATGTATGGGGTGGATAGCCACCTGATTCGGGCACTTAAATCCTTATATAAGGACTCGAGTGCCTGTGTCAGAATAAATGGGGACTACACGGAGTGGTTTGACATTAATCGCGGTGTTAGGCAAGGCTGTGTAGCATCTCCTTGGCTGTTCAACCTATTTATGGACAGTTGTTTGAACGACCTGAAAGTAGGAGAGCCTGGATTAAGGATGAATGACACAGTGATTAAAACATTGTTGTATGCCGACGACCAGGTGCTTGTTGCCTCGTCGGCCCAAGAATTACAACAAATGGTCACTGCTATGAGTGATGCATTTGAAAGGAAAGGTATGAAAATAAATGTGAACAAGACGAAAGTGTTGGTGATAGAAAGAAATGAGGTGGTAACAGAATGTCAGGTAATGATAGGTGATGAAAAATTGGAACAAGTGAATGAATTTGTGTATCTGGGATCACTATTTACGAGAGATGGAAAGTGTGACGGGGATATTGAAAGGAGAGTGAAAGCGGGAAATAGTGTTAATGGTGCTTTACACTCTGTAATGTCGAGTAAAATAATATCCAGCAAAGCTCGACTTGCTGTAATGCAGTGTGTATTGACACCAACGCTTATGTATGGTAGTGAATCATGGGTGTGGCAGAAGAAGCATGAAAGCAGGATTAATGCGGTGGAAATGAGAGCCCTGAGAAGTATGTGTGGACTAAAATTGAGTGATCGAGTGAAAAATAGTGTTATTAGAGAGAGGTGTGGATTGAAAGACGATGTAGTGACAAGGATTGAAAAGGGAATGTTACGCTGGTTTGGACATGTAGAAAGGATGGATGAAAGTAGAGTAACGAAAGAAGTATACAGAGCGGATATGAATGGAGCCGTCGGTAGAGGGCGCCCTAGACGGACATATAGTGACCAGATTGGCGATATATTAAAGAAGGGCCAAATTAAAAGTACCCTTAACCGACGAGCATGCATGAAAAGATTGATGACTGTTAATGAAGCGAAAGAGGTATGTAAGAATCGTAGTAATTGGCGTTCCTTAGTCTCTGCCTACCCCCATGGGAGACAGGCGTGAAGTTATGTGTATGTGTATGTGTGTAAAATAAAATAAATCAATTTACAAATACAACTTGTCTATAATATAATGTGTAAAAATTAACAAGATTATTAAAATTAAAAAAAGAATTGGCAACACCGTTGCATTTTGTCACGGTGTATAATGTTATACGAAATTAAACTCTATATTAAACGATTTAAGATTAAAATAGTTTCAGATCGACTATATTTTTTTATTAACACTGGATGTTTATGTACATTGCTGGAACAGATACGATTTGAAGGCACTTTTTGTAGATTATATTAAATACTACTGATTTTGATTAAACTAGCGACCTGCCCCGGATTCGCACGGGTGCAATATGCATGTATTATACATATAAACATTCCTTAAGAATCACTCTATCTATTAAAAAACTGCATTAAAATCTGTTGCGTAGTTTTAAAGATCTAAGCATATATAGAGACAGACAGTCGGCAGATAGCGACTTCGTTGTATACTATGTATTGATAATTTGAATTATGTGTGTTGAAAATTATATAGTAAAGAAGATTTAATCTAGGCCTCTTTGTTTGGCAACAATTTTTAATATAATTATGATGATTTAAAAATCACAAAAGGAGCCTCTAAAGATTATATCCACTTTTTGCTTCATTAAAAAAAATAAACTTGCATAATATATCATTATTAAAACAATTATTTTGTCATAGCATTGTCTTAACTAAATATAACACTGGAATCACAAAAGTTTATTTTTTTTGAGTATATTTCTGAACCAATCATGAGTATAATGAATGTCAATGAGCATAATTGTTCAAATTAATTTAAGAGCTAAGAAACAAAGTAAAGTAAACTTATTTAAAAGTTCTATTAAATTAAAGTACGACAAACCAAATTAAAACGTTAAAAAATATAAGTTAGTTTATAACAATTTAATAGAGAAGTATTCAATTAAAAGTTAAATGAAATTAAAATAAATAAAAATATAATTAGTGATATTTTTTATTATATATCTTGTAAAAAACACGGTTACTATAACCGACTCTGAGTACGACGGTTTGACGCTTAAAATTCCAAACAAATATGGCCGCTTGAACTGTCAAATATCGATGTTGAATGAAGCGTGTTGGCATGGCAACGACAGCATCGTCTTGGGTTTAACCATGTTTGACTATGTACTGTCAACAATAAGTGGAAAAATGTAACTACAGTTTAGAATACCTAGAATTCCACATATAATTGGTAAACCCCTAACCAGGTTGCGTATATTAATAAAATTGTTTGTTTAATACATTAGTGCAAGTCCATATATATATACACAACACATGGTACTACCCAAACTTGTCAAAATCATCCGATTTCCAACTCTATTGCAATATAATAAGGTTGGCAAGTAAATTGACAGCTGGCTGTTGTACATACAATACTATCATTCAACCGAACCGAAGCTAGACGGTTGGAAAACTACAAAAAAAAGTTATATCAAAATTGCTTGTATTACTTTACCGTGTTTCATACAAGAATAATAAAATATACCAAGTGTATTAAAACAAAAATTAATAGCGAAAACATGAATGTCTCATAACTTCATAAGTCATTATTATATCATAATAATATATTTATGTGTCACACACTTGGAGCCATATTTGCAAACAAATATTACAATTTGTTTTCTTACCAGTATTATATTATCATAATAATATATATAATATAAATAACCAAAGTAAAATGTTTATTTATAAACGGATATTGTGATAATAAATATCATCTGTTAATACTAAATTGTGTATCTGTAGAGGTAAATTATTATATTTATATAAACAAAAATGAATCGCCGAAATGTATGTTAGCGCATAACTACTGAACGTCTGAACTAAATTTGGTAATATGTTTTGTCGTGTTTGTATTTTTATCTTATTGTATTTTTTTATAATAACTATCGTGACACATACTAAATTAACTAAAAATCTCGTGTTACTCACGTGAATATGCTATTCTCACGGCGATCACCGCGACCGCGCAAGTTGTTCATGAGGAAGAACCCCTCTGTGGTTCGAAACTAGTAGAGAGCTTTTCTCAGTATATTCACGTGAGTAACCCGCGATTTTTAGTTATATATTTTTTTAATTTAAATGTATAATGGACGAACAGTAATCGCGCGACGACAAGTTAGTATTAATTCTGAACTGTGGAAAATTATTAACAAATAGCTCTAATGTGTACCCATTGCGATTTTTTACAACCAATTAACTTATACATGTTTTAGATAAGGTAAAAATACATATTCTTGGCAAAATATTACACGCCGCTATTTTTTTCGCACCTCGAATTGTACGTACAATAATTATTGCATGGTTATAAATATTATTTTTCAATAAATAAAGGCCCTTTCAAATTTTGAAGTTTTTATTTGAGATCATTTTTTTAAAGGAAATATTCATAACACTATAAAGAGCCTATAAAATGACTTTGAATTTCGTAGTGTACCCAGTTTGGAGAAACATATATAATTTAATGTATATGGACTCATAATTTGTATGTCATAAGCACAGTTTAATTTTCATTAAGGCTGGTAAAAATATGTAAAAAGAAGACAATAAAAACGGACGAATTACTTCACATTCATAATTATAAAACGTAAAGACAACGGGCCTTAATAGATTTATAACTTATACAGAAAAAACCAAACTTATATAAAAACTACATTTGCAACACTTCCCTAGTAAGTATAAAGTAATACTTGATATTTATATATATATACTCACTTACAACCAAATAAAATGCCTTCAAAACTAGACTGTTTTGGTTTATATGATAGCGCTGCTTGCCATCTGGTTGACTCCGCAGGTACCATCACCTCGGTACACACGGTAGTAACCCTGTTCTCCCCATGACTTGCCCCATGAGTTCTTTATAATCCAATATGGTAGTTTCTTGTGGAAGAGTGGATAGTCTGCGGAAGAAAAATCTCCGTTAATAAACAATGTATGTACGCGCATAACTCCGAAATGACTGTACTGAATTGTAGGATTCCTTTTTTGGTGTGTTCGGTATAATTAGAAAAAAATTTATGAATAATATGTTAGAAATTCTTAGGGACTTTCGGGAAACACACTTGTACAAGCGATGGTAGGAGATTACATATGTATAAATAGAGTTATTAAATGAATTTCCACCTATGTATGTTTTACCACCATCCAATGTAATATGACCCACTACTTTTACCAGACTGGACAGTATGTCATATGGGTATGAGTTTAATATTTATTATCGTTCAAATAATTTAAAGCACTTTTTAGGTTTTATGCTAGAACTTTCTGCTTGTGTATATTTTTACGGAAGAAATGAGTTAGATCGAGTTCTAACCAAAGCCTCACCTTTAATACCGTATCCTACAATGAGCACACCGTGATCCAAGTTGGTGGGATTGCATAACATCTTCCACGGGTGTGAGATACCTCCCATGTAGAACTGCATAGCGTTCGCGTTGATACCTGAACAAATGCACATTATGGTTATACAATTTTCAGCACAGCACACGTTAGGAAATGTCTAAGACTCATTTTATATATTTTAAGACCTGAACATAATTTAATTATCAAGCTAAATAAAAAATTTCAAAACGTTGTAAGCTACATAAACGAACGAGGTATTTACATAAGATATTATTTCTAATAGCTTCGCTATAAAATGTACATTAAAGTCAAGTCAAAGCATTTATTTCAATAGGGTAGTTTCCTAAATTTTATTTTAATGTCCGTCTGGTAGATTAATTTAAAACATTAGACACGTATTTTTCTTTTCTCACAAAATTAAATACTTTCGACGATATAATAATCTGAAATAACGTGTGACGTCACAATACGCTACATTTTGTAGCACTTAGTGACGTAACGACCTCCCACTCCTAAACTTAACTCCATTTTATCTAAGTATTGTAACTTTATGCGAGAAAAAAATACGTGTCTAACATTTTTTCATTATCTAACTGAGGGACTAATTAGATTTTTAATTTTCATTCCCTGGCAACTACCCTATTAATCCTTAATTAGGCACTTTTGAAACGTCAAAAATTGAATTGTCCGTCCGTCTGTCTATCAGTGAAGCTAGGCAATTACTAAACAATTCTTACCAATAGAAATAGGTCCATTGTGCACAAGCCACTGGGCCATTCCAGTCTCATTTGTGGTGATGTTCACAGCTCCACTGATCTGCACCTTGGCGAGTGTCTTGTTGAACTCACACTTCTCACCGACACCTTCATATGGGTAGTCACTCTCCAACTCAAGACCTCCCATCTGTTCTATAGCCCTGGATAACATTACAAGGTTAATTTAAAAATATAGTGTATGTACTGGCAGAACATTGACACAAAATATCACAAATCAAACCATGTCAAATACATCATCATAAAAATTATTGAGGTCATGAGAACCATCTCGTATCTGGTATAACCATAGTTTTTTATGACTTAAGCCGGTAAACATACTGACGGATCACCTGATGGTAAGCAATCGGCTTCGCCCATGGACACCTGGAACACCAGAGGCGTTACAAGTGCGTTACCGGCCGTATACCAAATTCAAATTCAAATCACTTTAATGCATCTATAGTGTGTACAGGGTTGTTTACAATTTTTGACAAAATATGTTCCAACTATAGGCCCATTTGGGTACCGCAAAAGTACTTACTCTACTTACAAAATAGTATTTTTTAATTAATGCAATAATTTAGTTATTTCAAATCTTATATAACTATTTTTAAGAATTTGTTTTAAAGTTACAAAAAAAAAAATATTTCAACTTATTACCTTAGTAGACCCAGACTTGTTCAATTATCTTTTATCACATCATAGACACATTAATGTGTTTCTTCACCGCAAGTCTATGGTGTCTAACTAAATAAAGTTAAAAGCAACAATATTGCCGTCCCTGACGAGGTAGACACAGGTGCACATTATAGACAATGTAACACTAAATTTTCAACGGTGTAGTCTTGTTTTAAGTTCCGTATATTGATTATTAATAATATTACGTAGCACAAGCACACACGCACGCACACTCTTACACACATAGTCACACACACACATACACACACACACACCAACAGACTTATGATATAACTTGACTTTCAATTATTCATTTTCACTATTCTAACGTATTACACTTGTATGATATAAAAGAGCGGCGCCTCCTGGTACAGGCATTTATACGCTTAAAAGGGGACGCCACTAACTGTGTAACTTTGTATTAACGTGTAATAACGAAATAGACATTTTTTTTTTTTTATTAGGTATAATTGCGAAATTTTGTATGTTTGTTTGTCTGTGTGTTTGTAACTCGATCACTTCAAAACGGCTGAAAGGATCAGGATGATATTTGAAACAGTGGTAGATTATGGTTTGGAATAACATATAGGCTCCAATTTATTCCACCAGAACTCGGGCAAAGCCGCTGGTTTCTACCAGCTAGTGAATATATGTATAAATAGTGTGACTGCCTCTTTAGCCGAGTGGTTGTAAGTGCGACTGCCGCCTTGCAAAGTATTACTGGGTTTTTAAATATTCTCTGTAGTAGCACGGAGTCTGGAATTGTGCCCGGCATATGGCCTATTGCCATCCAAACACATACAGAAAAATTCATTGAAATCGGTAAAGCCGTTTAGGAGGAGTTCAATGACACACACACACACACACACACACACACAGCAGAATTATATATATAAAGATGAGCCCATTGCCATATACTATGGTCATATACTAAAGCAATAGGCTCACCCCCTATAACATGGGACTCATAACATAAATAGCGAAAGGTGGGTGTTACATTGTACAATGGTATAATGTGCACCTCTGCCCACCCCTTCGGGGATAAAAGGCGTGATGTTATGTTATAGTGTAACTAACATAACTGTGTCACTGTCTTTAAAAGTCTAGATCTTTATATATTACTACTAAACTATAAATATATGAATACAATGCGACGTGAATATAAAAAGTATTATGTATGTTTCGTAACGCAGTAAATACCTAGAGATAATGTCGGAATCCATGCTACGACCAATGAGGAACTATACAGGCTGTGCAATAAATATAGTGTATTATTATTATGTCATAGAAACATACTTTGTAATAGACTTTAACTTTACCTAGTAAAACGTTTAAAGTACAAAGTTATATTTACATAAACATATTCTTCAGCTTTATATTATAATAGTAATTAGTAATACTATTATATAAAGCTTACAGGATGTTTGTTTGAACGGGCTTATCTCAGGAACTACTAATCTGGTTTTGAAAAATTATTTTTGTGTTGACAGGTTTTTATTTTTTTATCGAGAAAGGTTATAAAACATCACGCTACGATCAATAGGCGTCGATCAATGCGCAGAAGTCGCTATTAGTAGTATAAGATAAGATATAAGAAGTATATGTAATTTCTTCATTTAGATGTATAGTTTATATTTTGTATGTATTCATTTATATATTGTATGTATTTGTTTGGTTTTTTTATGTTTAGTTTTAAGTCTGTTTCCTATCGCAATTTTCTATTTGTTACTACACACTGTGTCATTATCCACAGGAAGAAATTCCAATAAGAATAGGTGGTACATTTGAACTTTAATTTTACATATGTGTTATCCTTTATGTTGTATGTGTATACATAAATAAATAAGTATAAGATTTTTACACGCTATATAAGGGAAAACTTGAAATATGTTGTTATGTTTGCATTAAATGAGACCTTGAACGATGCGTACCTCTGTCTCTACTATAATTATAAAGAAAATTATTTATTTATACGGAACAAAAAGTACTAAACCTGTATCTGCACATACCTGTAGGCATTATCAGGTAATCCACCATTGCAGCCATCGTCCAGTTTGTCACAGTCCACTAACTCCTGCTCAGACAGGGATATCAGCTGTCCCGACTGCATCTTCCATTGACCTTCAATGTTACCTAAAAAGATATTTTAACTATTTAGTCCACCTCATTAGTAGTGGCTGTAAGCGCCTGTACTTGCGCTGAACAAGTCCCGGGTCCGAGTCTATGGGCGAGCTAATATAGATAATATATCTAGAATTCACCCCGGTACACAGCATACATGGTATTTACAAAACAACTGTTGCTGTAGGTAATACGTTTATTTTACATACAAATTACCTACAATGCCGGGTCCAAAATATTGTTTGCATTAATCAGGTAGAATGCGGAGTGTAATGTTCACAGTACAATAAATTACTGCCTCGTTGGCAGATTGGTCGCAAGTGCGACTGCGGAGCAAGTGGCGAGACCCCTTGCAAGTCGCACTTGCGACTTGTCGGTTCGATTCCCGGGTCGGCCAAAGTACAATTGGGTTTTTAAAAAATTCTCATTAGTAGCACGGAGTCTGGAATTGTGCCCGATATATGGCAATAGGTTCACCCCCAATTACATGGGACTCATAACATAAATAGTGAAAAGTGGCCGTTACATTCTACAGTGGCATTAAGTGCCCTAATGTTATGTTTATATACAGTTAATTATCTCACCAGTCACACTGAACGCCCAGCAGCTACCACATGAGCCCTGGTCCTTCACCTCCGTCACAGCATCATGCTCTCTCCAGTCAAAGTCGTCAGGAATTTTAATGTCTGGAATATCGGCCTTTTTCATAGGGACCTGGTTCTCGTTAGTTAAATTCGTATTCAAGCCCATGTATATACTACTAAATTCTTCATACGTCAAATCAGCAAATCGGGTCACACCGTATATAGCAGTACCTTTCTCATGAACATTGAACTCGTGAATTTTCTTTATATTATTTTTAAATATCTCGAAACGTTTCTGCATTTGGGAATAGTCATTGACGTAACTGGGACTGTAAGTTGTCAAAAAGTTGTAAAACAATTGTTCCGCTTGCACATGGTGGTATAAATCATGCGTAGCACCTTCTTGAAAATCGCATGACACTCGGAAATTGGGAGGATGGTCAGTCCATGGTCGCACCCAAACATTTACACGGCAGAACTTGTTCAGACCGTGGTCTTTAATTAACTTGCAGTCAGTTTGGTCGCTTAAAGCAACACAATCTGTGAAACCAACCTCTATTTTCATTTTGTAGTGAATACCAGCAACTACTTGTTTTTCCAATGAAAATATTCTAACGATCTTCTGTTTGCTAGGGTGAGGATATTTCGCTTCAATATGTTTTAATGCTTCTCTCGCTAACGCATTAGCCATTTCAGCGCTTTCAAATTCTATATGCGACTCCAAAGGTGTTTCATCATCAACACAATTTACATCAATATTTTGTCCATTCTTGATCCATAATCTCTCCCATATTTGCGCCACGCAACGTCTTCGGGGCAAGTGCTCCAAGAAATCACAACTAGTGATGTTCTCAACCCACTCGTACTTTAAACAAGACGTGTAACCGACGTCAAAGTCGATGGTGGTTACTTTACCAGACGTAATTTTAGTAGAGTGACTGTTGATCTGCAGCACCCTCTGTTTGTATCTATGTAATGAAGACATTTCTAACTTCTCCAAAGCTGCGGCCACCATACTCTTAATTTCCTCATTTTCTGAAGAAAGGTTCGTTTGATTTGTAGATCTTCTCAAACGATTCAGAGGCGTACATTTAACATTTATGTAACTAATAGATTTTATTTCTGTCTTTAGCCAAATAAATGAGTGGCAAGACTTAGAAGGTATTTCATGATTAATATAACATTGGAAAGGATTTTTATCTAAATCGACTTCTACAGAACAGTTCGTATAAGCAACAACAAAATTGATTTTAAATGGTTGTCTTGAATCGAGCGACGGTATAACTTGTGGCTCGCCTTGATGAACTAGTTTATACTTCACACCAGCAGACTTTTCAAGTTCCATCATTGACAATCTTAAAAGTTCAGGTACATTGACTCCACTAATGGCCACAAAATCTTCGTCATCGTCACAAACAACAGATACGTGTCTTGTAATCAACTCTTCGTCTGGTGCAGGCCATAATCTAGCCAAACATAGCCTATGACTTAAACCATTAAGTTCTTCACAGTTTGCCAGATCCTTTGTTCTTTGATGCCGCAAACAATACGTTTCGGCTATTTCAATGTACATTTTTACAGTTCGAGCTCCCATTTGAAGGCTACTTTGCACAGCGTGTATGGATATTAATTTATGTAAGTTATTCGAACGGGAATGGTCATTAACATGTTGAAGAGCACGATCAGCGTAATAATAAATGATATCTTCATCCATTTCTTCGGCATCATCAACAGTTTGTCTGGCACTTCTAACACCTATGTCACGTTTGTTTTTTTTGCTTTTGTTTACTCTCTCGCTAGCCTTTTTACATGTGACTTCAATTTCGCTTTCATTATTACCCCAAGGTTTATTTCTTATTTTTGCATTACAATGGAAAACTACAACTGGTTGTTTCACTTTACAAGAATCTTTTTTAGTAACGTTTCTTAAACAAGTAGTGGGTGATATAGTAAAGTCAATAGTAAACGTCCCATCTAACTGTTGTTCACTTACACTTTGGATTCCTGTAACTTGATGAACGTATTTTCTATTTGATGCAGTCAAATATTTTTCAGTGGCTTCATTAGCTAGTTTCATGTGGTTTTCAGAATTATTACTTTCATTTTCTGGTTTTACTACATCAACATCAGAATCGTCTTCTACGAAATCGTCTCGGTCATCTGACGGATCATTACATTGAACATCAATATTTTTCTTTCTTAACCAAGGTCGATCCCAAATTTCTGTATGACAGTAAAGAATTACTTCATCATCTGTCTTACATGTGCGAGCATTCACACGGGATTCATTTACAGAGCAAGCTGTAGGGGCAGCAGTAAAATCTATGTTATATTTTATGCCTGAAACCACACGTGTAAGAACCCGTTTCACTTCTAGAACTTTATGATAAACACCGCTTTTTTGTTGAAATTTCCTCAAGGATTCTTCTACCAGTAACTTATATTCAGGTTTATTTGGATTTTGGTCTTCTTCATCGTCACCTCGAACGTTATGAAGATCATTTCCAGTGCTGCTTCGTGGAACCGATTTTTTTTCAAAATTCTGTTCCACCAAGCCTCGAGGCATTCCTAAATCTCTACGTGCTCTAATATTAACAGGAACACAATCGACATTTACTTCCTTTCTTTCAACCCAAACTTGTTCAAAAATTTTAGAATGACATTTCATAGTTTTTGAATTTCCATCAGATATGGTAAAATCGATGCGGGTCAACAAGCCAGAAACTACTTGCGTGGTTACTTTTTCAACTTTTACGACTTTTAGAGGTTGGTTTGTCCCGGAATCGGCAACGAACTTTAGCAACGATTCCTCAGCCAAAACTCGATACTTTGCGTCGTTTGGGTCTTGATCTGTCAAACCACCCGTCATTGCCTCTCTTTTACTTCTTTGGTCACCGTTATGACAAGAAACATCGATGTCTTTTCTGTTCATCCAAGGCTGCTCCCATATTTTAGAGTGACATTTGTTGATATCATCCCCACCCGATATCACAAAATCGATGCGGGTCAACAAGCCAGAAACTACTTGTGTCGTTACTTTTTCGACTTTTATGACCTTTAGAGGTTGGGTTGTCCCGGAATCAGCAACGAACTTTAGCAACGATTCCTCAGCCAAAACTCGATACTTTGCGTCGTTTGGGTCTTGATCTGTCAAACCACCCGTCATTGCCTCTCTTTTACTTCTTTGGTCACCGTTATGACAAGAAACATCGATGTCTTTTCTGTTCATCCAAGGCTGCTCCCATATTTTAGAGTGACATTTGTTGATATCTTCCCCACCCGATATCACAAAATCTATGCGGGTCAACAAGCCAGAAACTACTTGTGTCGTTACTTTTTCGACTTTTATGACCTTTAGAGGTTGGGTTGTCCCGGAATCAGCAACGAACTTTAGCAACGATTCCTCAGCCAAAACTCTATACTTTGCGTCGTTTGGGTCTTTATCTGTCGAACCACCCGTAATTGCCTCTCTTTTACTTCTTTGGTCACCGTTATGACAAGAAACATCGATGTCTTTTCTGTTCATCCAAGGCTGCTCCCATATTTTAGAGTGACATTTGTTGATATCTTCCCCACCCGATATCACAAAATCGATGCGGGTCAACAAGCCAGAAACTACTTGTGTCGTTACTTTTTCGACTTTTATGACCTTTAGAGGTTGGGTTGTCCCGGAATCAGCAACGAACTTTAGCAACGATTCCTCAGCCAAAACTCTATACTTTGCGTCGTTTGGGTCTTTCTCTGTCGAACCACCCGTAATTGCCTCTCTTTTACTTCTTTGGTCACCGTTATGACAAGAAACATCGATGTCTTTTCTGTTCATCCAAGGCTGCTCCCATATTTTAGAGTGACATTTGTTGATATCATCCCACCCGATATCACAAAATCGATGCGGGTCAACAAGCCAGAAACTACTTGTGTCGTTACTTTTTCGACTTTTATGACCTTTAGAGGTTGGGTTGTCCCGGAATCAGCAACGAACTTTAGCAACGATTCCTCAGCCAAAACTCTATACTTTGCGTCGTTTGGGTCTTTCTCTGTCGAACCACCCGTAATTGCCTCTCTTTTACTTCTTTGGTCACCGTTATGACAAGAAACATCGATGTCTTTTCTGTTCATCCAAGGCTGCTCCCATATTTTAGAGTGACATTTGTTGATATCTTCCCCACCCGATATCACAAAATCTATGCGGGTCAACAAGCCAGAAACTACTTGTGTCGTTACTTTTTCGACTTTTATGACCTTTAGAGGTTGAGTTGTCCCGGAATCAGCAACGAACTTTAGCAACGATTCCTCAGCCAAAACTCGATACTTTGCGTCGTTTGGGTCTTGATCTGTGAAACCACCCGTAATTGCCTCTCTTTTACTTCTTTGGTCACCGTTATGACAAGAAACATCGATGTCTTTTCTGTTCATCCAAGGCTGCTCCCATATTTTAGAGTGACATTTGTTGATATCTTCCCCACCCGATATCACAAAATCGATGCGGGTCAACAAGCCAGAAACTACTTGTGTCGTTACTTTTTCGACTTTTATGACCTTTAGAGGTTGGGTTGTCCCGGAATCAGCAATGAACTTTAGCAACGATTCCTCAGCCAAAACTCTATACTTTGCGTCGTTTGGGTCTTTCTCTGTCGAACCACCCGTAATTGCCTCTCTTTTACTTCTTTGGTCACCGTTATGACAAGAAACATCGATGTCTTTTCTGTTCATCCAAGGCTGCTCCCATATTTTAGAATGACATTTGTTGATATCTTCCCCACCCGATATCACAAAATCGATGCGGGTCAACAAGCCAGAAACTACTTGTGTCGTTACTTTTTCGACTTTTATGACCTTTAGAGGTTGAGTTGTCCCGGAATCAGCAACGAACTTTAGCAACGATTCCTCAGCCAAAACTCGATACTTTGCGTCGTTTGGGTCTTGATCTGTGAAACCACCCGTCATTGCCTCTCTTTTACTTCTTTGGTCACCGTTATGACAAGAAACATCGATGTCTTTTCTGTTCATCCAAGGCTGCTCCCATATTTTAGAGTGACATTTGTTGATATCTTCCCCACCCGATATCACAAAATCGATGCGGGTCAACAAGCCAGAAACTACTTGTGTCGTTACTTTTTCGACTTTTATGACCTTTAGAGGTTGGGTTGTCCCGGAATCAGCAACGAACTTTAGCAACGATTCCTCAGCCAAAACTCTATACTTTGCGTCGTTTGGGTCTTTCTCTGTCGAACCACCCGTAATTGCCTCTCTTTTACTTCTTTGGTCACCGTTATGACAAGAAACATCGATGTCTTTTCTGTTCATCCAAGGCTGCTCCCATATTTTAGAGTGACATTTGTTGATATCTTCCCCACCCGATATCACAAAATCGATGCGGGTCAACAAGCCAGAAACTACTTGTGTCGTTACTTTTTCGACATTTATGACCTTTAGAGGTTGGGTTGTCCCGGAATCAGCAACGAACTTTAGCAACGATTCCTCAGCCAAAACTCTATACTTTGCGTCGTTTGGGTCTTTCTCTGTCGAACCACCCGTAATTGCCTCTCTTTTACTTCTTTGGTCACCGTTATGACAAGAAACATCGATGTCTTTTCTGTTCATCCAAGGCTGCTCCCATATTTTAGAATGACATTTGTTGATATCTTCCCCACCCGATATCACAAAATCGATGCGGGTCAACAAGCCAGAAACTACTTGTGTCGTTACTTTTTCGACTTTTATGACCTTTAGAGGTTGAGTTGTCCCGGAATCAGCAACGAACTTTAGCAACGATTCCTCAGCCAAAACTCGATACTTTGCGTCGTTTGGGTCTTGATCTGTGAAACCACCCGTCATTGCCTCTCTTTTACTTCTTTGGTCACCGTTATGACAAGAAACATCGATGTCTTTTCTGTTCATCCAAGGCTGCTCCCATATTTTAGAGTGACATTTGTTGATATCTTCCCCACCCGATATCACAAAATCGATGCGGGTCAACAAGCCAGAAACTACTTGTGTCGTTACTTTTTCGACTTTTATGACCTTTAGAGGTTGGGTTGTCCCGGAATCAGCAACGAACTTTAGCAACGATTCCTCAGCCAAAACTCTATACTTTGCGTCGTTTGGGTCTTTCTCTGTCGAACCACCCGTAATTGCCTCTCTTTTACTTCTTTGGTCACCGTTATGACAAGAAACATCGATGTCTTTTCTGTTCATCCAAGGCTGCTCCCATATTTTAGAGTGACATTTGTTGATATCTTCCCCACCCGATATCACAAAATCGATGCGGGTCAACAAGCCAGAAACTACTTGTGTCGTTACTTTTTCGACTTTTATGACCTTTAGAGGTTGGGTTGTCCCGGAATCAGCAACGAACTTTAGCAACGATTCCTCAGCCAAAACTCTATACTTTGCGTCGTTTGGGTCTTTCTCTGTCGAACCACCCGTAATTGCCTCTCTTTTACTTCTTTGGTCACCGTTATGACAAGAAACATCGATGTCTTTTCTGTTCATCCAAGGCTGCTCCCATATTTTAGAGTGACATTTGTTGATATCATCCCCACCCGATATCACAAAATCTATGCGGGTCAACAAGCCAGAAACTACTTGTGTCGTTACTTTTTCGACTTTTATGACCTTTAGAGGTTGAGTTGTCCCGGAATCAGCAACGAACTTTAGCAAAGATTCCTCAGCCAAAACTCGATACTTTGCGTCGTTTGGGTCTTGATCTGTGAAACCACCCGTAATTGCCTCTCTTTTCCTTCTTTGGTCACCGTTATGACAAGAAACATCGATGTCTTTTCTGTTCATCCAAGGCTGCTCCCATATTTTAGAGTGACATTTGTTGATATCTTCCCCACCCGATATCACAAAATCGATGCGGGTCAACAAGCCAGAAACTACTTGTGTCGTTACTTTTTCGACTTTTATGACCTTTAGAGGTTGGGTTGTCCCGGAATCAGCAACGAACTTTAGCAACGATTCCTCAGCCAAAACTCTATACTTTGCGTCGTTTGGGTCTTTCTCTGTCGAACCACCCGGAATTGCCTCTCTTTTACTTCTTTGGTCACCGTTATGACAAGAAACATCGATGTCTTTTCTGTTCATCCAAGGCTGCTCCCATATTTTAGAGTGACATTTGTTGATATCTTCCCCACCGATATCACAAAATCTATGCGGGTCAACAAGCCAGAAACTACTTGTGTCGTTACTTTTTCGACTTTTATGACCTTTAGAGGTTGGGTTGTCCCGGAATCAGCAACGAACTTTAGCAACGATTCCTCAGCCAAAACTCTATACTTTGCGTCGTTTGGGTCTTTCTCTGTCGAACCACCCGTAATTGCCTCTCTTTTACTTCTTTGGTCACCGTTATGACAAGAAACATCGATGTCTTTTCTGTTCATCCAAGGCTGCTCCCATATTTTAGAGTGACATTTGTTAATATCTTCCCCACCCGATATCACAAAATCGATGCGGGTCAACAAGCCAGAAACTACTTGTGTCGTTACTTTTTGGACTTTTATGACCTTTAGAGGTTGGGTTGTCCCGGAATCAGCAACGAACTTTAGCAACGATTCCTCAGCCAAAACTCGATAATTTGGGTCATTTGGGTCTTGATCTGTCAAACCACCCGTCATTGCCTCTCTTTTACTTCTTTGGTCACCGTTATGACAAGAAACATCGATGTCTTTTCTGTTCATCCAAGGCTGCTCCCATATTTTAGAGTGACATTTGTTGATATCATCCCCACCCGATATCACAAAATCGATGCGGGTCAACCAGCCAGAAACTACTTGCGTGGTTACTTTTTCGATTTTTACGACTTTTAGAGGTTTGGTTGTCCCAGAATCGGCAACATACTTAAGCAACGATTCCTCAGCCAAAACTCGATAATTTGGGTCATTTGGGTCTTGGTCTGTTAAACCACCCGGCATTGCCTGTCTTTTACTTCTTTGGTCACCATTATGACAAGAAACATCGATGTCTTTTCTGTTCATCCAAGGCTGCTCCCATATTTTAGAGTGACATTTGTTGATATCTTCCCCACCCGATATCACAAAATCGATGCGGGTCAACAAGCCAGAAACTACTTGTGTCGTTACTTTTTCGACTTTTAAGACCTTTAGAGGTTGGGTTGTCCCGGAATCAGCAACGAACTTTAGCAACGATTCCTCAGCCAAAACTCGATAATTTGGGTCATTTGGGTCTTGATCTGTCAAACCACCCGTCATTGCCTCTCTTTTACTTCTTTGGTCACCGTTATGACAAGAAACATCGATGTCTTTTCTGTTCATCCAAGGCTGCTCCCATATTTTAGAGTGACATTTGTTGATATCTTCCCCACCCGATATCACAAAATCGATGCGGGTCAACAAGCCAGAAACTACTTGTGTGGTTACTTTTTCGACTTTTAAGACCTTTAGAGGTTGGGTTGTCCCGGAATCAGCAACGAACTTTAGCAATGATTCCTCAGCCAAAACTCGATAATTTGGGTCATTTGGGTCTTGATCTGTTAAACCACCTTCAACATTGTTTTCATCATGGATCTGTCTTTTAGATCGGTATAAATTTCTTTCTAATTCACATTTTACATTAATGTTCTTTTTATGAATCCATGGTTGTTCTCGTATTTCAGCACGACATTGCTTTCCTTGATTTTCGTGGTTCTCTAAATCGGTTGGAGATATAATAAAATTAATTTGAGTCTTTATGCCTTCATCCCACTGTACCATTACGCTTTCTATAGAAGCAACAGTGTATAGTTGCGAGCTATTTATCTTTTGTAGATGAATATAAAGCGATTCATCCGCCAATTGAATATACTTATAATAATTAGGATCTTCATCGGTAACTTCAGTTCGTTTAATTGGTAAGCCGATTGAATGACATTTTACTTCTGTAACACCTTTGGACGTATTGGTTGCGAAGAACTCTGCGTAGCAAATTGTATCACCATCATCATCTTCAGTATGTGACGCTAGGAATACAATTTTAGTTGTTAGGCCTTCTATTACTACTTTGTCAACTAAAGTTACTCGCAAAAGAAGTGATTCAGGATTTTTCTTCAAATATGCTTGAAGCGCTTCTACAGCAATGTGCATAGCATTTGTATCTTTAAGAATTTGTTTTAAAGAATTACTGTTTTTACTATAATATTTTGAGTCAGAATCGCGTTCATGCAAGCCTGAAGAAGTTTCATGCTGTCGGTAGTCTTTTAAGTTACAATTTACAAACAATTGTTTTTTGTCAACCCAAACGTTTTCCAATATTTTCGAACGACAGTGGATTACATTTTCAGGATTTATGACGTGGCATTCAGTAGGTGACAAAATGCCGTGTTTCAGTTTGCAATTGGTGGGTGATATTGAAAATTGAATTCTTATTAATTTATCAGGCAAATTTTGATCATCAACTTTGTCAACTTTTACGACTTCGTAATGTTGGTGATTGAGGGATGATTGCATAAACTTCTGTAAAGATTCATTAGCTAACTTTTTGTATTTGTTTTCAGGGCTTTTATTTTCATTTCCTTGACCTTCAACAAAATCTACAGACCTTTTTTTTCTTTTAACGTCATCACATGAAACTTCTACTTGTCTACCATCTATTATCCATGATCTATCCCAAAACTGTGCTTTACACAGACGAAGATTTTGTCCTTTCAATAAGTGACATTTATTTGATTCGTCTATTAACTCATTTCCGCTTGTGCAATTGGTATATCCAACCAAAAATTCTATTTTAGTTAAAAAGCCAGCTATAATTTGAGAAGAGATGGATGTTACGTTTACAATTTTTTGTTTGTTATTCTTTTCTGATTGTGTTTCTAAAAATTGTATGGCTTCTTGCAACATTTCGATAATCTTTGGATCCTCTACATTTATACTTGGGGTCATTGATTTTACTTTCGATATTTTCATGTCAACTGGTCTGTCAGTGCAAGAGTATGATATTTTCGTCTCTCTCAGCCAATGCCTCTCGTGCACGATTATTTCACAAATCTGTGATCCTAATTGTTCTAGAACCGTACAATTTATTCGTAATGCTTGTGGAACGCTCTTATTACATTTCAAGTTATCAACAACAATTGAAAATTTCGTAAGTGTTCCAGATGTAATTTGGGTTAAAGCTGAAATAATTTTATTTACTTTCAGAGCGTTTTCAGAGTTTGATTCGGATTCAATTTTTTTCACTGCGTCTAAGGCTAAATTTTGTAAGACGGGATCATCGAGAGGTATTTCTTTGACAATATCCCTGTAATCTCTTTCTTTGTTGTCATTGTAACAGAATGAGCTTATAATTTGGGGACTATCGTCGTTTGTGGCATCTAAAACACCATTACATATTTGGGTACCCGTGTCTCTTGGTTCACATTCAACTTTATCACATGGTATTGTAACACTAGCCTGTACATATATATATCGCTGTAGACTGTCAGTTTCTTCTTCCGCTTTGATTACGCTTTTTACTTCTCTATTTTTTACTTCCATGTCAATTTCATTCAAATAGTTTACCATAGTTTGAGCTAACCCGTATACAAAGCGTGCATTTTTTAAACTATTTTTAATACCATGATAGTCTTCTGCAAGTGTTAGTAGTTGCAAATCGTAATCATAACTTCTCCTTGCCCTTGACACGGGAACTGTACTTTCAGTCTTCAGTTTAAATCCAGAAAAGTCAAAATAGTTCAATAGGTCGTCAATAGTTTTCTTTTTATCTAGATTAATGTTTAGAGTTTGTTCGGTAACAGGAATTGTATTCACATTATGTTTACTGGATTCGACTTTGAAAACATGTTCCTTATTTTCCCCGGGGGTGTCAGGAGATGCAGTAAAAGAGCGTTGATAATTTTCTTGAAATTGATTATTCGGAATTATTTGCTCTTCTAGATTGTTCATCTCTTCATCCGTTAGTGTTCGTTCCATGTTTGGTTGTGATTGGACATCCGAATTATATTTTACCTGTATGTCATCTCCATCATCTCCCTTACTTCCTGTATCTTTGTCCTGTGCTTGGTTATCCACGGTGTCTGGCAAAACTTCGCCATTGTCACCATACAGCCATTCTTCTGTACAGTTGTTTCCTAATATTGCTCTATAATTTGCACCATTGGGCAGTTTTACCCATGGTTTAACTAGAAATGTTATCTTACAAATGTTAGAGAACACACAGTTTTCAGATTGGATATCCGAACAATTGTCAAAATGAACTGACATAGTTAAAATATATCGTACTCCATTTACCACCTGAAACAAACATTTTAAACATACATTTCTTGCTGTGGCGTTCATTTTGCGGTCTTACTCTTGAATCCAATTCCGATCGTTCGACATTTATATTGTCAATTTCGTACTCTGGAGTCGTAATATCCACTAGCTCCTATAGTATCCATATTGCGTAGATATTGAATGAAGTAAATGGTATTAAATTTGGCTTTATATTTCATACTCTGTATGCAATTCTAACAGCTAAGATTAGGGTTGTAAGTTACGTTGAATAATTATTGAGATTTTCTTGGACTTGAATTAAATTAACATTGAGATTAGTTTCAAGAGTAAGTGCCCTGTTCTGATATATAGTACAGTGAAGCAGCTGTACCTTGATAATATTGGTGTATTTAGTTTTGTCTACAAAACACACACAGACAATAAAAGCAGCAGCAAAATATTTATGTAACAATATTACTCACTTGGACTTGTCTCTCTACATCTAGTACTCGTTCCAGAGTGTGTTTCATTGTTGGTTGATGGATATCGAGGTGCCTCAGACCGAGGCTAGCAAGGTCGCTAACTCCAGCAGCCTGTGGGTTCACGTGCGTGGCACACCCAAAGCATGGTACGCTCGGTTGGTCCCGAGGTATTGCTATAAACTGTTCACCTGATGTTATCTATAACAATAACATAAAATTATAATACTATTGGTTCTTCTATTATTCACAGCTGCAGAAACAATGTATTTATGATTATAGCCACTGTTTACAAGGTGATTGACATAGTAAAGTGGCTGTTGTGGAACAATTTCCCGCTCGGAATGTTTCTTGAACGATCCACAACATTATTCAAGGTATAGGAGAAAATCCTATTAATCGTAAAGGAGCAACGTTTTTCAAAAATTAATAAAACAAAAATTAACTGAGAATGGACAGCAAGTCATACAAATTTCAGAGTACCTAAACATATGTATAAGAATAGGAGTTTGGGATCACATGTTTTAAATAATAAAAGTATTACTTATTGTGCATTTGTTACGAAGTTTGTATATATCATGGTCATGTCATGTTTTGTTACATCTGCTGAGTAAATTCCTTGTGTAAAAACTAAAACAAGAATACCTAAGCGAAACTAAATTAAATACTCTTGATGCATACTAAGTACTAGATCATCAAGCCAATACCTGCTTTGATAAAGTTATTAACTGTATTATCAAAATTAAGCTTCAGGCTTAAACCTACCAAGTACCTACTTATTTTTGTATGTATTTCTGCCCCCCAACAAACACGATTTATCTATATAATCGGATAATTAATATCTATATACCTATATATACAAGAACGTTGTGTTCGTAACACTATTTACAACTCAAGAACGGCTTAATCGATTTGAAAATTGATTGAGCTTAGAACCAGGAGACTGACATAAAATACTTTTTATCCAAGGATTTGCCGAAAAATCTACGGGAACGGAAAAACGGGACTGTGCGTACGAAGCCGAGGGCAGAAGCTAGTTGAATATTAAAATATACAATTTCAAACTGTCAAACACCAAGCGGTCACCGGTGACCGCAACCTATTGTTCTTTAATTGTGTCTATAAATACGGTACTCGACGAGTTAAGGGATATTATGACATAAACTCTGTCTAGGTATTAAAATGTTTTCGAATACGTGCACGGGCCGTTTGTATCCTATAAACGAAAACAAAATATAATGGGCATCCTTGTCGTATAAGGCAACACAGATAACCTTGGGGGCTTCATGAGGATTTCTCACTTTATGATATAAGTAAAGTAAAGATAACCTTTGGAAATATGTAGCTATAAAAAGGAGAAATTGAGACAACATGACTGGCTGAATTATAATCTTCTCGTTTCTAATAACTGTGAAAAATTAGCCTATGTGACATATACCAATATACACACAGCGCCATCAATACCAATTCTTTTGTTTTCCCTAAGGAATATCAACATTTTCCGGGATAAAAAGTACCCTATTATTTAATCCGGACTTCTAACTTTACGTCTGCAAAAATTCAAAGCAATCGGTTTAGAAGTTACAGCGTGAAAGTGGAACAAACAAACAAACAAACTCACTTTCCCATTTATAATAGTAAAGATTAACAAAGTACTTTTTGTTTGTCAATCAGATTTTCAGAACACAATAAAAACCTATATCTAAGCAAGGTAAACGAACTGCGATGGTCGCATTATCTGGCATTATGCCATTTTTATGCACGAGAAACAATGGTGGCAAATTTAGACGACACCTTTATAATTATGTATATAAATAAGTTTGTTAACAGTATAAATACTTTTTTAAACAAAGGGCTAAACTAATTTTATCGTAATTTTATTTCAATAACTAAAGAGGTAAAATATTTTTTTAAGTGTGGGAGAGCCATGCTTTGGCACTAATGGGCCGGCTTTACCGAAGTGATACCACGGCCTCACAGAAAACTGAAGTGAAGCAACGCTTACGTCGTGTTTCGTCGTGTGAGTGAGATTACCTGAGGTCCAATTACGAAATAATTAGCCACGTAATTTAGATTTTCTTACAGAAACAAATACTTTCGACGATACATTGATTTCAAATATCGCGTGACGTCACTTCTAGGGACTTTTTATACCAAAGAGTATAATAAGTATAGGGGAATTTTATACGTAGAAATGTCATTTTAGCTCCAACTCGTCAACTTTGATCCGTTTTATCTAAGTATTGTAACCTTATACGACAATATAAACAATACGTGTCCGGCCAATCAGAACGCCGATCGAGACCGAAACGTTACCGCACATTTAGAACTCTGATTGGTTCATTGCAGCCTGCGCGGGTCTCGTTTCGATTACTTTAAAATATAAAAACTAGGGTCTCAGTACGTCTTTTCGAGAAACATTCTGTCCTTGAAGCTATGATTTAAACTGTTTCCTTAGAATCTCCTCAAACAAGGAAGAGATATCTTAATTTTCATTCACTAACTAAGTGAAGGCGGGAAACGCAGCGGGAAACCCGGAAAATGCGGTAAGGATAATGATCCTAGTTCAGTAATTGTGTAGAATGCTAAACAATTACTAATAGCACTATCAATGGCATAGGGCCATAGAAGATAACTAAGAAGGGGACTAAATAAATACAAAAATGATTTCGTATTTATTTACGTAATACGTGTTCTACTAATAATATTATAATGCAAATGTTTCCGAAGAGGTATCGATGTATGATGTATGTTAAGATGTTATTCTTTCACACAAAAACTCCTCTAGATTTTTATCGCAGAGATAGTGTTCACTACTTTTACCCTACTTTGTGCTGCAGGCGAAACCGCTGTCAAAAGTTATTTTAAATAAACTCTAGCATTTCAGGACAAGTTGTCATTATTATTGTTATATTGTTTGTTAAACTGAAATAAATTTGTTTGCATCCTTGACATATAAACACGTTTCTAGGTCACCCAGACCTCATTCATACACTGACACGATAAAGGGTTATCTCATTATCTACACTTTACATTTTATTATAATTAAATGCATATATTTACTACCTAATTATAGTTATGTACTTTTAAACATTTAAGTGTCGAACGATGACCCTAATTTAGCTACTTTTTTCTTTGCACAACGAATTTTTTACTTTGTTAGTACAGAAGGCTTAGTACGAGTTTCTTTTTCGTTTAAAGTAATCGAAACGAAACCTCGTCCGGCGCTCTGATTGGTTGGTTCATTGGACCGGGCCAATCACAGCGCCGAACGCGTACTCGTTTCGATTACTTTCAACGTAAAACAAAGTTCGTACTAAGGCCTCTGAGCTGTATTATCCAAAGGCAAACTAGGCAAATTTATAGGGCGCCAGATTACAAAGGGGTGCCACAGTACGCGCGTGCCAAACTGCCGAAGTGGCAGCGGCGCCAACAAAAGTTAGGGGCTTCTATGAGGTGCGTACCTAAGGCGCGCTCTAAGTTCAAACCGCCTCTGTGTTTGTAAGTACCTAATTCACATAACATAACATCACGCCTTTTATCCCCGAAGGGGTAGGCAGAGGTGCACATTATGCCACTGTACAATGTAACAACCACTTTTCACTATTTATGTTATGAGTCCCATGTAATAGGGAGTGAGCCTATTGCCATATACCGGGCACAATTCCAGACTCCGTGCTACTACTGAGAATTTTTTAAAAACCCCAGTAATACTTTGCTCGACCCGGGAATCGAACCCGAGACCTCTTGCCCGGCAGTCGCACTTGCGACTACTCGGCCAACGAGGCAGTCAAAGTATCTAATTATATCTCCAATATGAAGAGATATTGATTAATCTGCACGTAAAATAATCAGTTTTAATTCATTTAAAGTAAAGAATGCGTGTGACATAAATATAAGACCATAATAGTATTTCCTTACATCGTATTGCGAAAACAATTGGCTTACAAATGGACAACGTTATTATATAAGGGATAGATTCTAAGTGGCCGGTGCCGTTCATTGGCGCCCCAAAAACCAAAGTAGATACTTAAGTAGTAAGTGCGTTACCGGTATTTCAGATGAAAGTGCCTCCGGTAACTTTGCGGATCTTAGTCTCGGGCGACGATATTTTTTCATTTATCAATTACTAGCTTTTACCCGCGGCTTCGCTCGCGTCACAAAAGGATAAAAAGCCAATGTGACATATACCAATACACACAGCGCTCTCTATACCAATACTTTTGTTTTCCCTCGGGAATATCAATTTTTTCCGGGATAAAAAGTTTATTTAATCCGGACTTCTAACTTTTTACGTCTGCAAAATTTCAAAGCAATCGGTTTTGTAGTTACGGCGTTAAAGTGGAACAAACAAACTCACTTTCCGATTTATAATTAGTAAGGATTTAACAATTACGTTTTTATATATATTTTTTTTTTATTAACTACATATCGCGTATCTTTTTACTAGGACACGTTATTATTTACACAGCCATCTGCAATGCAATGCAATGGTGCGCGAATGAATGCACGCGCGTTCGAATCACGAACATAAAAAAAATCCATAGATTTTTTTTTATATATCAACTTTCTGTAATATTTAGTCTATTGTGTTGGAATAATAGACAACTTGTTATTTAAGTAGTTAGATACTTACTTCTATGACATAAAGTTAAATAAATTTAATTAGGATAGTAATAGTATTGAAGCAGGACAAAAAACAGAGAACAAATTTATTTGTTAAGATTTGTATTTATTGTATGCCTAATATCATCTAAATCTGTTAAGCTTTTTGGTTAGAAATACAACACAAACAGTTACAAAAAACTAGGTATATGTCTATACTACTGATTTTATTTAAAAAAATGAAGGGAATACTGAACAGAACTATAATATATCATAAAACTTTAAAGCATCTGTAGTAAAGTTTGAAATATAAATCCATGTCTAAAATGTACTTACAGCTGTATCTGATTGTACTTCATTGTCTAACTGGACAGGTCTCCTCTCAACCACAGATTCAGCCACTTCCGCCTGAGCTTCGGTGGCAATTTCCTGGCTGGAGTCCTGCCTAGGCTCGTGACAATGACTACTTGTGACAGCAACATGATCATCAGAGTCCTTGACAGTAGCAGCACAAGTTAAAGACTTTGTTACTTCAGCATTCTGAATCTCTTTAACTTTTATCTTTGCTACTATTTCATATGTGGTGTCATCCTGTAAACAAATCACTTTAAGAACTAAGTCTTTAAATAAAGAGCTTCTTATAGTGGCATTATTATGTCCAAGGTTATTGCAATGTAAAACTGAGAAACCAGTTTAACCATACAGGAAAATATTGCTTTATTAGTTGAAAGTTTATACTACATTTCAAATTAGAGATTAATGTTTAACGAAAATGATAACTTAAGATACAGAGGTCTCTGGTTAATGATAACCCGATGTAGTGCGCGTAAAAAGTTTAATGAAGTCAATATTTAAAATAAGTCCCGATAATCAGAAAAAAAATATTTGTGACTTACCACTTGCTGCGTATTTTGCAAAGATCCCTCATTGCTCTGGTATATTTGATTAGGTAAACTATTATAATGTTCTAGGAAGCCATTCAAAAGTTTCTCTTTTTCACCCTCGCTTATTTCACACAAACAACCCGAAAATAATAACAATTTCAAAATTATTAAGTACTTATTTACATTCATGATGTAATCGTCACTTCACCGTCATAGTCGAGACTACTGTGTTAGCAAAATGAACAGCGAAGGCGATGCGAATTACTATTTATTTGTTTACTTTATCGACACATGAATCAGCGAAGACGAACTTACAAACTTATTTGTTGACATTGTTCACGATTTCACGCGTCAAATTATCGCTAGTGATGGCCGTTTGCCAGTTTTGTATAGTCAACTACATTTCATAATTTAATTTCAGCAGTTAGGAAAATATTGATCGCGGTTATTATATCGTTTGCAATTAAAATATTAAACCTTAAACGTTTAATATGAAAAAGAATTGAATTTAACTGATTACATTTAAAGCCGTATTAGTTCAAAAGTTTACTTATAAATGTACATCCATCAGTTGAAAATTAGTCATTTAATTATTTAATCTGAACTTACTAACATTCAGTTATAAAAGCTTCTTCATGCAACAACATGATATGTAAGTTCTTAACTATTTTAAGCTTTAGTTATTTTATACCTGGGTACTTAGATATTTTGCAGTTTTACTCATAGGTAGGTACTGCAGAATATTATACCGTAATGTAATATATTTTTTACTTACACTAAGGATTGTCATGCAGGGGAACGAAAGGAATGTTTTAACCAACCATAGTTATAAATTATTAGCTGATGATCAGGCCATATGAATTTATATTATTTTTCATTGTTACTAACAAGACTACTAGTCAACTAACTAAATCTATCCACCTCACTATTTACATGTCACTTCTAAACAAGCCGTTCCGTTTTCACGACATTCCTTAGTAAAGAAGTCTAAACAGCTATCTGTATTTAAGCTATAAAATTGCTGTTGATCAGTAGAACAAAAATGTATGTTTTGCTTAGTGAACATTGTTGTTCAATGACTGCAATCGGTTTTCTTTCTATTGATGGTAAACTCAATATTAAAACTACGATAGAATAAAAAACGGAATACTTATAATTATAGGAGTCTATTATTTCGAAAGAGGAAATATTATACTCGTTACAAATAAATGCTGAATCATTTACAGAAACAAATTATGAAGTGACAGTAGTCTTTTAAATGCAGTGATTTATTTTGAATGCATCTTCGACTGTTTTCCATGCAAAACAGTCAAAGATGGTAATGGCAACCCGGAAACAGCTGCCAGTTTCTGACCTTATGAATGTCACTGTCCACTGTCAATTGTCATCTCGGCCTATGTGTCTCGTAGTTGTTGTTGTACCGTTATTTTCGTACATTTTTCGCTAAAATTCTTGAATTAAAATGTTAAAATAGACTATGTTTTAATAGTTAAATCAATATATTTGTCCCGTCACAATGTGTGAAAAGAAGAAAAGTAGTGAAACGGCAAAATCGACTAATAAAATGTACTTTCTAAATTCTTCAATGTTATGTTTAGTTTTAAAACTTTATAAATAAATTTCCAATATTATATTAAACTTTTTATTTCCAGATGGTGGATTACTTTCGGTATACTTTGTGGTGCTACATTTGTAACTAGATTTTATAAAGTTTTGGAGCCTGATCATGTGTGGTAATTAGAAAAAATCTTCTCTACATTTTTGTCTTGTTAGAACTCTACAATTTGACTATCATATCACCCCTTTAACCCCGGAGGTGCGGGCAGATGTGCACATTATGGCACTTAATGCCACAGTACAATGTAACATCCGCTTTTCACTGTTATCAGTCCCATGTAATAGAGGGTGAGCCTATTGCCATATACCGGGAACAATTCCAGACTCCGTGTACTAATGACATTTTTTTTAAAACCCAGTAATATTTTGCCCAACCCGGGAAATGAACCCAAGAACCCTTGCCCGACCAGACTTTATTTATTTATTTAAGGACAATCAACAAAGCATACACCAAAATACATGATAGGTTTTTTTTACATAATATTTTAACACTCTATAGTGTAGCCTTAATTACAGGCTGCCACGACATGCATTATAAACTTGCAACTACTTGGCCAATGATGCAGTCAATCAATTAAACAATGTAGTCACATTCATATTATCAATTAATGTTTAATCTACTGACTATTGAATCTTAAGTATATTACTTCTTGTAAACATCAGATCCTATTTGTACGAACAGTAACAAGTAATATTGTAAAACTGTCCGCAGACATTGACCTCTTGTCTATCGGAACACAGACCTATGCGAGACAGAATCTGTTTTCTATTGTGGCTTATATAATGACAGACAAGAGGTTAGTTTCACTGCCTAAGTAAAACCATTGACTGTTCAATCCTCAAGTTTTCACCGATGACAACTCTCCATTAGTGGAGAGTGTGTTAGCACCATTACAAAACCTTATTTCCGTTGTTTAAAGACTACTTTTGTATGAAAAATTTTGATTATGATATATCAATGTGTTGATAATTTTGTTAATAATAATTAAGTTAATAATATTCTATATTAATTCAAAATCTAATAGAAATATACATTTTATTTGTAAATTGGATGATATAATTTTTATTTAATTTTCAGTTGGGATGAAACTCACTTTGGTAAGATGGCTAGTTGGTACATAAATAGAACATTCTTCTTTGATGTTCATCCACCTCTTGGGAAGGTAAGCCTTTGTGTTAAAAGAATTTAAGAATAACTCGAAACATAAAATATTAGATACTAGCTGAACTGACTAACTTCGTATCGCCTTATTTGGCCTTCGTATTTGGCCATTGGCACACGAAAACAAGGATCATTACAATAGAAATAAAACAAATACAGTCAAAATAAAAACAAAACATTAATAATAGATTTTATAAAAGAGAAAGCAGCATGGAGCATTTTTTCTTATGATCCACCGGGTGCTCATAAGGACGCTCGAGGGGTTAAAGGTTTAAAAGGGACTTCCCTGGACTTCTACAAACATTTCAAGACCAAAATTATCTAAATCGGTTCAGCCATTCTCGAGTTTTAGCTAGAATAAGGAACGAAAATTCATTATTATTTGTATAGATTGAATGAAATGTAAATATTAGTATTCTTTATGTAGAGACAATTCATTTCTGCCGTAAAACTCATTTATTCTCATTTTTTTAATTATTAGATGCTTATAGCATTGTCTGGGAAACTGACTGGATATGATGGAACATTTCCGTTTGAGAAGCCAGGCGATAAGTACGAAGGGGCTCGCTATGAAGGAATGAGACTTGTAAGTAATTTATTTTAACAATACGTAATGTTATTAAAAGTAGACATAACATAATAACATCATGCTTTTATCCCCGAAGGGGTAGGCGGTGCACATTACGGCCCTTAATGCCACTGTACAATGTAACACCTACTTTTCACTATTTTATATTATGAGTCCCATATAATAGGAAGTAAGCCTATTGCCATATACCGGGCATCCAGACTCCGTGCTACTACAGAGAATTTTTTAAAAACCCAGTAGGTAATACTTTGCCGGACCGAGGGAATCGAACCCGAGAGCCCTTGCCCGGTCGCACTTATGACCACTCGGCCAACGAAATTTATTAAACTTCCTCAGTTTTACATAAAAAATTGTCTAGCACAATAATAAAATATTGAGTAAACTAAAAATCGCGAGTTACTCACGTGAATATATTGAGAAAATCTCTACTAGTTTCGACCCAACAGAGGGGCTCTTCCTCATTGCCATGAGTATATGTATATGTATACACTTGAGTAACCCGCGAATTTTAGTTAATTTAGTATGTCTCACTATAGTTAAAGAAATAAAAATAAAATAATGAACCAATATTTAATATTGACTTTTTGTTCCAGTTCTGCACTACTTTAGGGGCATTAATAATTCCCCTGACATTTTTAACTATATGGGAAATGACTAAATCACTTGAGTCTACTTTAATTGGGACCATGCTGTTATTGTGTGGTAAGTGTGCTTTATACCTACACGTGTTTATTATCTAGGTGCTACTGTTGGTTGCTGGTCATAAGGTTGTGAGATTCAATTTTTAAATGTTAGGGCATCAAAAACAAAAATACTTATTATGATCATGATACTCATTATCAACAGCTTATGTTAGTAAAGTATCGTTCTATGGGTTGCCCCGAAGAGCCATCAAACCACCACAGATGGGGCTCAACAGGGCTGCTGCCGATACGGAGCCGCGGAAAACTTAACGGGATGCCGGGGCTCCGGTTTGAAGTGCAGCAGTAGGAACGGGGTGGTTTTTAGTCAGTACGAGTCTGACACTCCCTCTTACCTCACCCAGGCGGGAGAAGTAATTCGATGATTTTGCCCTTAAAACAAATAGTAAAAAAAATGGGCTACCTATATGTATTAATCGTTTCCTCAACCCTTCAGATGGAGACTACAGTTTAAAAGTTCTCTGAGTTCAGTCGTCTCTTAGGCTTTCCTAAGAGACGACTGAACTTTTTTTTTTTGAAGTTACTTGAGTTTACCACATACATACCTGGCTGATATCATAGTACCTACCTATCTACTACATTGCCACATAAGTAATAGCAAATAGGTAATACAGAAGGTTTTCCGTATTAGGTACTTACTTGCAGTGAATGTAAATGAACAATAAATACATTATTTTAATTTATAAAATGTTACAAGTAATTCCCCGAAATAGTGATGTTATTTCTATAATTTAATATCTGACATAGAGACTGGGTTTACCAATCATAAAAGTACTTATGATAATATAGTCATGACGTCATATTTGTTAGAATTCTGACGTAATAACTATGTATTACTTTGTTTCAGATGTGGGTTTCCTTACCCTGAATAGATACATATTGTTGGATCCGATTTTATTGTTTTTCATGAGCTGTTCAATATACGGAGCGTTTAAGGTATGTCGTAAATCAACCACTGCAACATTTATTGTTAGTTTTCTTAGTATTCAAAGTAACACGTATTTTCCTATTCTTTAAAAAGCAATTTATGGTAATAAGGAAAATCCATAACATGAAAAAATCATATTCACAACTGACTAGTTGATCGGGAATTCATAAATAATAGCCGATCACGAAGCTTAGTAAGTATTAGGTAGGTATGTATTTTCAATACAGAATTACGCAATCAATTGAATTGCCTAACTTATATAAGTCGAAATGTTAAACTACAAAATATAGCTACTAATACACATAAGGTATATTCACTTAGTTATAAGTTCCGTGTCATATCATAGCGGCGAGCATATTGCCAATATCTGAACTCTTACTTAATAAAACCCCGTGTCATTACTCATTACTGACAATATTAAAAATCAATAATAAGGTATTGTCTTGTCCTAAAACCTTTGCTTGACAGTCGCGCTGGCGACTACGTTGAAAAGACGAAGCTATAAAGACACTTAAGTTATGCCTACCGCTCAGAAAATGCTCGAATGGAAGGTTGGACTTACAGACAAGACAGAAAAATAACTAAAATCTCTGTAATCGCTTATTTTAAGTGTGGGAAAGCCATGCTTTGCCACAAATGAGCCGGCTCGACCGGAGTGATACCACGGCCTCACAGACAACTGATATAAAACAAGCTTGCATTGGGTTTCGTCGTGAGTGAGGTTACCGGAGCCCCAATCACACCTCTCCCCATTCTCTCCAATCTCTGAATCCCCAACAATACTCAAATTGCTAATCTTCAAAAGGCCGGTAATGCACTTGTAACGCCTCTGGTGTTTCAGGTGTCCATGGGCGACGCCGATTGCTTACCAATAGGTGATCTGTCTGCTCGTTTACCGGCTTATTCCATAAAGAATAGTGGCCAAACTTTGTGGCTTACCAACTAATTACAATCAAGCAATAAAGTAACGTATCTCTCATTTCAACCAGGTGCGAACTCTAACTGACGACAATCTCCAACCGTTCTCCGTCCGCATGCTATCCTGGCAGCTGTTCCTAGGAGCCTCCCTCGCCTGCACCATGTCCGTCAAATTTGTCGGCCTATTTGTCGTCCTATTTGTAGGACTGCGCACCATAGCCGACTTGTGGAACGTGTTGGGAGATCTGAAGAAACCTGTTGTGAGTATTAAGTGTATAAAAGTATGAATTGACTGTATCGTTGATGAACTGGATGAACATTTAAAGCGCACCACGTCACGAGAAAAATGCTATTGTGGCATAAAAAGAAAAATATACTCTATACATACAGACGTCCATTCAATAAGGCGTGATACAGGTAATCAGCGCGACAAACCGCGAGCGCCAAAAGAAAGTGTCAGATTATTGGCGTTTTACCCTAAGGTAGATAGATGATTACGATGCGTTGGACCTTCCGACCTTTAGACGAGGCTAACCATATACTGCTGTCTCAACATATGGCAGAAATGGAACATTATGTTTTTAGTCAGAAAGAGTCTGATACTCCCCCCGCTTCACCCAGGGCAGAAAGAGTCATGCAATGCTTTTCTACCCTCACAAAAAAAGCGTACGGTGCGTCGCGTTCCGCGCGCGCCTCAAAGAGCCATCAGACCACCACAGATGGGGCCCAACAGGGCCGATGCCGATTCGGAGTCGCGGAGAACCTAATGGGTAACCGGGCTCCGGCTTGACGTGCAGGAGAAGGAACGGAGTGGTTTTTAGTCAGTAAGAGTCTGACACTCCCTCCCGCCTCACACAGGCGGGAGCAGTTATTAAAAAAAAATCCTCACAAAAAAGGGACATATACTTTCTTGTCATCTCAATACAATATTAAACAAGAAGGCCTTCCTTTTGCGTGTTGTAGCTACAACATGGCAGTCGAGGAGGTACTGTTTAACTTCATATTTGTTTCAGAGCCTAACAGTGAAACACTTGATCGGTAGAACAGTGACGCTGATTCTGTGGCCGACACTTCTCTACGTGTTGTTCTTCTGGATCCATCTCACAGTTCTCAGTAAGAGGTGAGTTATTAGTTATCTATCTACTAATGTTATAATATAAATACAAAATTTTATAACAACAACATCAATATCCTATAAGTGGCCACTGCTGACCAAAGGCCTCTTCTCACACGGAGAAGGTTTGAGCATAAATCACCACGCTTGCTCAATGCGGGTTGGCGGTTTCAAACTTATAACTACAAATTATAAGCCCAGGTTTTCGTACGATGTTTTGCTTCACCGTTTGTCAGTGGTGTCTAAATAATGTTCGAAAGTATGTACTTTCTAGTAAGATATGGTACTTGCTGTTGTTAGATTTTGAACCCGCACCCTTATGCATGAGAAGCAGGCGTTTTAAACCTCCGGGCTACCACGACTCGACTGAATATTGGACACAGAGATCTATTTAGAATGACACAATGTACTCTGGAATAACAAGTCATACACAATGATGGAAGCGAAGTTGCTTAAAATTATTTTATATCACGAACAACTGGGAAAATATTTAGTTTTTATTCCGCTGATGGAATAAATTATGAATTTGGAGCATGCAGCACCGACAAACACACGACACGCAACAAACCTCAGGAGTTGTTGACTTGGCGGCTCCCGCGCCTCGAGTCAATAACTCCTGAGGATGCTCCGGGGAGGAGCGAAACTGTACTTCCGGTGCTATAACGTCACTTATGTATTGCGGAGGCCCGCGCGTAACTGAACAATGAAACCTTGTTTCTCCCAGTGCCGTCCAGATTAGCGCCAAAACCGTAACGACAGTAAAGCCCTCACGAGGACAGTTTGTGTACTACACAAATGACAATAACGCACCAAGTAAAGAGGTGAATTTGGAATATTCTTTCATAATCAGTTAAGTTTTGACAAAAACTAGCTTCTGCCCGCGACTTCGTACGCGCAATCCCGATATTTCCCGTTCCCGTTCTTGATTTTCGGTAAAAAGTAAAAAAAAAGAATTGGGTAAAAAGTATCCTATGTCCCGTCTCCTGGTTCTAAGCTACCTCCCCACCAATTTTCATCCAAATCGATTTAGCCATTCTTGAGTTATAAATAGTGTAACTAACACGACTTTCTTTTATATATATAGATTGCATAAGTGTCGATATTGCACCGTATCAAGGGTGGTTCGAGTGTTTTGTTGCGTGTCGTGTGTGTTTTGTGTCGCATCTCTGCTGCATGAGCGTGTATCTGCGGGCGGGAGGACGGTGCTGCAAACTGCAGTTGTTGTTGTTGGTGAAGCATATATTTCCGCAAAGTAACGCCTAAGTATTCTATACATTATTTTATCTGGTAGATTATTCCGATAATTATTTATTGCGTGGGTTTTTTGTTTGTTTTTGTATTTACAGGATATAGGTAATACTTGTATATAAGTATGAGGTAATTCAAAAGCTTATCTAAATAACAAAACAACTTCCAAATTTAAACCTAAACCTATCATTCGGGTATTTTTTTGCTTATGCTTATAATAATAAATAATTTATTTGTCAGTCTAGTTGGCAAATCAGTATGTTTCAAGTTCTCAGTTGCAAAGCTAAAGCATGTCCGGATTTCAGAATTAAATTCGCTTACTTATGCTGTTGCTTGTGAAGGCTGAGTCGAACGACATAACATAATGTCACGCCCTTTATACCCGAAAGAGTAGGCAGAGGTGCACATTACGGCACTTAATGCCACTGTACGATGTAACATCCACTTTACACTATTTATGTTATCAGTTCCATGTAATAGGAGTGAAACTTTTGCTATATTTCGGGCACAATTCCAGATAATGAAAAAAAAACAGTAATACTTTGCCCGACCCGGGAATCGAACCCGAGACACCTTGGCCAGCAGTCGCATTTACAACCACTCTACCAACGAGGCACTTTTAATCGAACGACATTTTTTGAAAGATGCAGTAGGAAGATGCATTAACCTAACCTATTAAGTATTTAAATGAACTATGTAATGTTGTTTTGAGAAATAATTTTCTTTAATCGATATGCTACACTAAGAGAAATGCACTTCTCAACTCCATGAAACTGTCAGTAATGGATGTTGGAATGTTTAATGGTATTTTAGCTAGGCCTACATCTGAAGCTGCGAAAATTATATATTCCTTTATATTAGATAGATAAGTAGACTAAGTTATGTGTTAGACTAAGTTAATGTTTAAGTTGTAAATACATTTGTTATGTAGAAGCACGATGGGATTGACAACGTCACAAAATGTGTACAAAAATCCCTTACAATAAATGAGATCAAAAAAAAAGATATACTATACAAATTCATAACATAACATAACATAACATCACGCCTTTTATCCCCGAAGGGGTAGGCAAAGGTGCACATTATGCCACTGTACAATGTAACACCCACGTTTCACTATTTATGTTATGAGTCCCATGTAATAGGGGGTGAGCCTATTGCCATATACCGGGCACAATTCCAGACTCCGTGCTACTACTGAGAATTTTTTAAAAACCCAGTAATACTTTGCCCGGCCCGGGAATCGAACCCGAGACCCCTTGCCCGGCAGTCGCACTTGCGACCACTCGGCCAACGAGGCAGTATACAAATTCATTCACAGTGGTAACGGCGATGGCTTCTACTCATCCGGCTTCCAAGCTCGACTGGAAGGCAACAGTCTACACAATGCAAGCGCGCCGAAGACCGTGGCGTATGGTGCGCTGATATCTCTCAAGAACCACCGCACTGGAGGTGGATACCTGCATTCCCATCATCATCTGTACCCTTCTGGAGTTGGGGCTCGACAGCAGCAGGTAGAAACAATACTTTGATTTTAATTTCTTTTTTTAGGAACTGTGTGCATCGTCGACCTGTGTGTGTTAAAAAGTTACCACAGTGCCTACCAAGGAAGATCCCCAAATACACCGTGAAATCTATGTGGGATTGTGTGGCAAAATAATCGAACACTATCAATTGAAACTTTTATTTCAAACACGTTATAAAAATCAGCGTTACATCGACCGTGGCTGTTTGTCGTAACTCCCTATCGCCATTTTTCCACGTCTTGAATCCATCGCGTAACTGGATAAGTTTTATCTTGACCGGTGAATTTAGGTATCAGATCCGTCGTGAGATACAACATCGAGCTTTGGCCCGAACGTGATTCGTCTTTCGTCATGTTTTAGTTGCCGATGCCGTCGTACGTTGAGTTTTTGAATAATATCCGCCGCGTGCACCACGCCACGCGCCGCCGCCGGTCTCCGTCGTCCGTCGTCTTCAAACTCGAACCCGTGTCGTTATTTTTGCCAATCCCGGACGAGCCCCCAAATTTGTTCGATTATTTTGCCACACAATCCCACATCTATTTCGTTTTCATCCCAAAGTAAAAGGGTCGCTGAGACGTGCGAAGCGACTCTTGCATTAGCTGAGGCCTTAGTACGGGTTTGTTTTACGTTAAAAGTAATCGTAACGAGTACGCGTTCGGCACTCTGATTGGTTGGTTTATTGGCGTCGGCCAATCAGAGACCCGAACGCGTACTCGTTTCGAATACTTTAAACGTAAAACAAACTCGTACTAAGGCCTCTGTACTGCAAGAGTCGTGAATCGCGCCACGAATAGGGCTTTCTGAGAAACCTAAAACTCCGATCTCCAATCCGCATGACAGCCGTAGAGATTATGACACGCCCCCTTATGTAGAGAACGCCCATAGTCCTGCAATGAATTTGATAATAATACGGTAGTGGACAGGTAGTCAAATTCAATACTTTTATTGAAATGTCAAAAACGATACTTGCATTTTGTATTGGATCGCAACTTATGACGTCATCATATTTCTGCGTCAAATAGCATACTTATTTCTCTAAAATTAGCGAGAAAAATCCAAAAGTAAGTAAATTGTTAAATCAATGGATGAGAGTATGATTATTTTTTAATTAGATATTTATTGCATTGAAACGACAAACCGCGAGCGCCAAAAGATCTGTCAGATCATTGGCGATTTACCCTAAGGTAGATAGATCATTACGATGCGTTAGACCTTCCGGGATTGCAGACGAGGCTAACCAACCACATACTGCTGTCTCAACATATGGCAGAAGTGGGAACATTATGATATGGAAGAAAAGTTGAAACTATTTATTTTAAACCTAGGAAACTAGCCAATTCTAAGAACTGTAACCTAATTTTAACATTTTAAACAAAAGAAGAATTTATAAATCGGTCCACTAACGTCGCTGTAATCGGTTAACATACATAACAAATCATTCGAACACGAACCTCCTCTTTTTTTTGAAGTTGGTACAAAATACAACTTACGATATTGTAATTGAGTAGTTTATGGATTCTGGTGGCCCAAACCCGATTAGGTATCAAAAATACATATTTTTATATCTAGGTATAGGTAAGGGGATTACCACACAGGCATGTGCCCATGATTATTGTCAAATTAATCGTAGTCACACGGACTTGCTCTGATATGATGAAACGTTAAGCTTACCTATAACTACATTTTTATCACTCATTCAGTACCTATTTACAGTACAAACAATCAGTTACATAAACATACATAAAAGACGTAATTGTTTTTATGATTATAAACAAGTTGTACTAAAAGTGTGTCCAAACACGGCGTGCACGGTGCGCGGCAGCTGCGCGCGGGCAGTTCAGTTCGAGACACGCCGCACTTTTTATTTCGTATTCAAACCACAATGAAAGCGGCTCCGTGTTTTGTAGCTCTGCTTCGACCTCATACTGCACCGCAGATGGTCTGCAAGCTACATGTTCGTGCGCGGCAATAGTCCAATCACAGGGCTGCAAGCCGCGCGCGGCAGCCGCGCTCCATTGCCGCTCGATATTTGGGCACACCTTTAGGCTCAAACACAGCCCTAAAAGTTAATGAACAACACTGTTCATTTCTGTTGGTTACTAAATAGTACTTTTAAACGTCTATATTTTAAAAGTAAGATACATGAGTCCAGTAGCAGAAACAAACTCAGAAGTATTTTATAATACGAATAAATTAACTTCACTGTACGTTGGTGCGGTAGCTGGACAACAGGCTGTCGCGCAACGTGTAACGGCTCCAATTCCTGTACGGAGCAATTTTTTGTGTGATTCACAAATTGTTGTTTCGGGTCTGGATGTCATGTGTATGTGAACTTGTATGTTTGTAAACGCACCCACGACACAGGGGAAATTCCTAGCGTGGGGCAACGTTTAAAAATAAAAAATAAAGTATACGCTACAAATGCATATGATACCAATTTTACCTTTTAAAGAATAGTACCAGGATAACTGAGCTTTGCTCAAAATTTTTTTAGTAAACGACTTTTCCTAAACATTAATCCTAGCTATATCGATTTCGCTTCTTAAAAGCCTCTTAATATTAATTTCAAAAATTGCGTGTGGCAGTAACCAAAATCGTTGATACATACATATGTACAAAAATTGCTCTTTTATAGGTATTAAATTACTGGAGAAAAACATGTAACACTTAATTTTAAACCGAAGTTTATTGAAGAAGATTCATTAACAAACCTTTCTGTTTCTCCAGATAACTACTTATACACATAAGGACGATAATAACCGGTGGGTTATAAAGCCATATGACAAGGAACAGGTGGATGGCGTGGTCCTGGTGAGGAGTGGGGACCTAGTCCGACTGACCCACGCGCAGACCGGCCGTAATCTACACTCCCATCGAGAGAGGGCGCCTCTTACTACTAAGTACATGCAAGTCACTGGATATGGAGAGGTAATGCACAGTATATATTTATTTATATTACTAGCGTTTGCAAGCGACATTATACGCGTGGAATTATGAGAGAGACGTTTTGCAGATACCATCCCTCCAACTCCTCAAATAGGACGACATAAGTGAAAACCGCCTTAAATTCTATGCAGTGCCTCATATTTATTACAATTTCAATTATTCTTATCTTGTACTAGCTTTTACCCGCGGCTTCGCTCGCGTCAAAAAAGGATTAAAAGTAGCCTATGTGACATATACCAATACACACAGCGCCATCTATACCAATACTTTTGTTTTCCCTCGGGAATATCAAATTTTTCCGGGATAAAAAGTACCCTATTATTTAATCCAGACTTCGAACTTTACGTCTGCAAAAATTTTAAGCAATCGGTTTAGTAGTTACGGCGTGAAGTCGGAACAAACAAACAAACTCACTTTCCAATTTATAATATTAGTAAGGATTGCATTAGATATTTTAGTTCTTTAGTTCTTTATTCTTTATTCATAATAACAATGGCCAACAATGGCAAAAAATATCTTAGTTAAGCGACAAGATCTTAAAAACTAATATGCCTATACTAGGAATATTCCTGTGTCACAGGCGACAGGAGCTCTAAAATTATGTTAATGATAAGACAAGTTATGTATAGTTTAAACAAAATATTTAACACAATTTTCAGTAGTAAGGTAGGATTGTTTATAAATATACTATCTATTATATATATACATACACACATACCCATATAACATCACACCTTTTATTATTCCCTGAAGGGGAATAAAAAGTTGTACCTACATAAGTTATTTATTAATAATCAATAACATATAGACTTAAATAAACCACGTAAGCTATATTGAGAACTAGATAAAATTACACGCTATGCTGTCGAGTATTTTGAAGCTGCTGCAGAAACACAAAAAACTAGGTCAGAGTCCATACGGTCACTCACTTTTTGTCACAGTTCGATCAATTGTGCTTGCACAGCAATAAATTGATGAGTAAGCCAACCTGTTAATATGCAAATGTTGTACAAGAAATGACTAATCAAATCTGACTTAGAGTATATCACTTTATGTGCCTTCATAGTCGATGGAATTAATATATCTTTGCTCGGCTACCTTTCTGGCTGGGCACTCTGCGTCTCCTGTCCTGTGAGTGTTGGGCTTATTAAAGCGCGAGCATGTTGAACATTTAGGGAAATCTATTTTCTTAGTGCAAGCGGATGTAATGTGTCCTACTTCTCCACAATGGCCACACACTGAGTTGAGGTCCCGGCATGTCTTTGCCGCGTGGCCATACAGCTGACATTTATAGCAACGCGTTACTAACGTAAAGTCTCTGACAGGGCAAGACGTCCAGTTTATATAGAGTCTCTCTTGCGATATAAGGGCTTTTCGAATTTTGGCCGGAACTTCTATGATGTAATTACAAGTCGGCGCGTCTTTCTTGCCAGATTTATGACTTAGCTTTAAAGTTGTTAGAAAGGACTCCATGGTCAACTCTGGCAACTTGCCAGCTATGTTTTGCTCGTATATGCACCTGAGCACATCAGCATCAGATAAAGCAGAAGGCACTCCTACGACTGTGATTCTCGGATTTCTTTTCTTGGCTTCATCGGCAATAAGTCCAGATAACGATAGAGCTAGTGCTTCTTTAATTTTCTTTGCATCTTCTTTAGATTCCGTGCTAATAATGACGCCTCCGTTATGAATTTTACGCACACCACGCACATGCAGCTGCAATTGGTCAGGGCGTATGATTTTTTGCACTAGACATTTTGTTTCATCGCTGGTTTTTGATTTATTTTGTGGGTAAATAGCAGTAGAGGTCAGATTCTTAGGTCGCACGAAGTCAGTCCCCTTCTTTACCATATCAGCAAATGAAACGTTACCTGTTGATGTCGAGTCCTTGATTGTCTGTTTGATGTCCGAAATTTGTTCCACAAGGTCCTGTTTTTCTCTCATCTCATCTATAATGTTGACGGCAATACGAGCTTGCTGCTTCAGAGCTTGATATAGGACAGCCATTTGCGAGACATTAGCACCAATTTTTCGACTCAGATTTGATATCTTAAGTTTTTGGTCCGAATTAAGTTTGCCCTCTGTGGCAATAGTACACACTTCATGTAACTGGTCTTCAATGTTTGACATCCAATTTTGGATATCGGGCGTCGACACAGCTTCAATCGAGAAGTCAGAATTACGGCTGCTCTTTAATGGTGAGGCACAGGAAGCCAGATTACTCGGGGTTTTATCCATTTTCAAAAACAATTAAGTTTGTGTTTCCATTATTTAAAACTTGGTATAACAATAAGAAAAATAATAAAGTAGGTCACTATTATTGCATGTTTTCAATATTTCAACTAAGCACGTCTGTTCACTTCGAACGTCAAGTACGGAATCTTGATTTTATTGCAGGTACTTATATTTCATTTTTCTACGAATGACATGTCAAAGTGTGCTCCAAAATTTATAATGTTGTGCCCGACAGGGTCCACATTCCGTCCACCACTTAAGTAATACATGTGGAAAGCAATAAAGTATTGAGTATTGATAGTCCAGCAACAGATTACCATGAGCTATAGATCTTGAAGCGCAAGACTTTTGGCACACACCGAGCTTCTTCCCTATTGAGACCACATGAAATACTTAAGATTTTTTTTAAATTTCATTTTATATTAGATGGGACTGACGTTTGACCACTATCTCGCCTGGTGGTAAGCGATGATGTGGCCTACGATGGAGCACGTCGACTCATAAGCAATCTATTCACTCGGGCCTTGAAGACACCCAGGTTATACCCTTCAGGAAATACAGAAAGCAACAAACATACGATTTTATTTTACTTTTTCTTTCTTCAGGATGGTATTGGTGACGCCAACGATGTGTGGAAGGTTGTGATATCTGGCGGGAAAGATGGCGACGACGTGCAGACTGTTAGAAGCAAACTCATGTTCGTGCATTATTTACAGGTCTGTATAATCAAGCAATATTTTTGTATTTGTGTCCATTTACATTTCTGAATAAAGATTAATTATTATTTAATATTATTATTGTAATCGTAAAAACTTATCCTTACTAATATTATAAATCTGAAAGTGTGTTTGTTTGTTTGTTTGTTCCACCTTCACTCCGTAACTACTCAACCGATTGCTTTGAATTTTTGCAGACGTAAAGTTAGATGTCCGGATTAAATAATAGGGTACTTTTTAACCCGGAAAAAATTGATATTCCATATATAGATGGCGCTGTGTGTATTGGTATATATCACATAGGCTACTTTTTATCGTTTTGTGACGCGAGCGAAGCCGCGGGTAAAAGCTAGTCAACTATAATTGCTATACATTTCAGGCCTGCGTATTGACAACAACGGGCAAGCAGCTTCCGAAGTGGGGCTACGAGCAGCAGGAGGTGGCGTGCAACCCCAACCTTAGAGACAAGAACGCGCTCTGGAACGTAGAGGACAACGTTTTTGATGACCGTTTGTATTTACAATTATTATATTAAGTAAAAATCGCGGGTTACTCACGTAAATATACTGAGAAAAGCTTGGGGTTCTTCCTCGTGAGCAGCGTGCGCGGTCGCGGCGATGTCGCGCAGCCTACTGGCTAGCGTTGGCGCTCGCATCGGTGTTGATACATAAACGCACTATTTTTTTTGTATTTGAGCATCTAGCCCAACGCGCCCTCTGCCGGACACCACGAGCATTTGCTTGCGCTGGACGATGTTGGCGCGCACGGTACGTTCGTTCGAAACTAGTAGAGCTTTTCTCATTATATTCACGTGAGTAACCCGTGATTTTTAGTTAATTTAGTATGTCTCACGATAGTTATAAAAATTATTATATTGTTGTTGACCGTTTGTATTTACAATTTTTTTTATTTATCAAACAGTGGAGTACCGCCAGAGTGGAATATATTTTCCGTACTCTTTCCGTAGGGTTGCGCAAGAGCCAACTAGCACCGTACTCTTTAAATAGAGACAAGAGCACTTTCTAAACCTCTGAACTAAAACTCAAGAGCTAGTCTCTATGTGATACTTAGATAAACATACCACGTTTTAAGTGTGGGAGAGCCATGCTTCGGCACAAATGGGCCGGCTCGACCGGAGTAATACCACGGCCTCACAGAAAACCGACGTGAAGCAACGTTTGCGTTGTGTGAGTGAGGTTACCTTAGGTCCAATTACCCCCAATCTCCCCAATCCCTGAATCCCCAACGATCCTCAAACTCCTAATCTCCAAAAGGCCGCACGCACCTGTAACGCCTCAGGTGTTCCAGGTGTCCATGGGCGACGCCGATTGCTTACAATCGTCTGCTCGTTTACCGGCTTATGTCATAAAAAAATACCAACCACAACTACTATAATACATACGAGTATGAATGTTTGACAAGTGAGTTAATCAAAAATCCACTTTATTCCGTAGTGCCAAAGGTGAGTTTCGAGGCGTACGCGTCAGGCTTCATAGAACGATTCCTGGAGTCGCACGCAGTCATGTTCCAGGGTAACGCGGGACTCAAGCCGAAGGAGGGGGAGGTCACATCACAACCGTGGCAGTGGCCTATCAATTATAGGGTAAGTTGTACATAATATGTACCTATATTTATTTAATTCCCTCTAGGAATTTTATTTTATTTTATTATTTTGGTAAACCAACAATTGTTTACACTATATACATTACTGATTAAATAGCTAAAGAAACATTTACAAGTGCAACAATTAATTATAGGTTAACACCACATGCAAAAAAAGGAATGCACTATCCTGCATTGTGCTGAGATCGCTATTACAATTACGAAGTTGAACCCTAAATATTGTGGGTTTTTTTACACTAATGTCATCGCTAGCATCATATCGACAATGAATATCTATATTTTTTTTATGGGACAAGCTCGCCACAACCATTCGACGCGAAACCGTTGCAACTCATGTAAGCCAGGATCTACAGTAGATACAACCATGAAAACGCAGGAACATTGAAGTCCGGCGCGTGTCAGGGACATGAATAACTGTCTTGGATCCCGCGGAGATAAATAAATCAGAAAATTATATATATAGACTAGCGGACCCGACAGACGTTGTCCTGCATATCCACTTGAATGTATAAACAAAAATTCATTCAAATTAGTACAGTTGTTTAGGATAAATAACCTAAACATCGACTGCAGCGCCATCTGCCGGGCTGATTTGTGAATCTAAACCATTCCCAGATCCCCTTGAACACACACAAAAAATTTCATCAAAATCGGTCCAGTCGTTTGAGAGAAGTTCAGTGATATACACACTCACAGAAGGATTATATTATAAAGATCTATTAATAATTTGAGAAGAAAAAGAAACGAAGATCATCTCAGTCAGAATCACCAGATGTATACCTGCTAATGAATTTCTGATCGGCCGATTGGAACCGACCTGCGCCTAATTAGATTATTTAACAATCCTATTTGTTTCGAAAATCGAAACACCTTTTAAAACTTATTAGTCTCGTTAGTCTAGTGGTAAAAGTACTATTGCAGTTTACAGTTGTTCGGCATCTCTTGAACGATCCAGGATGATCAATATTATATAACACGAAATATTATTATCTTTATATATATAATTCTTCTGTGAGTGTGTGTGTCACTGAACTTCTCTCAAACGACTGGACCGATTTTGATGAATTTTTTTGTGAGTGTTCAAGGGTATCTGGGAATGGTTTAGATTAACAAATTAGCCCGGCAGATGGCGCTTCAGTCGGTTTCAGGTTATTTATCTATACCTATTATTACAGGACAACGTCTGTCGGGTCCGCTAGTAATATTATATACAATAACACCTACCCTTATTCCCTAGGGTCAGTTCTTCTCCGGCAGTTCACACAGGATCTACCTGCTAGGTAACCCGGTCATTTGGTGGGGGAATCTGGTGTTCTTGGCTGTCTTCTTCTTCATATACGTCATCAACTCCATCAGAGAAAAAAGGGCGGAGGCTTTTGGTACTCCTTTACCGAGTAAGTACAATTTTTAAAATATATTTTACAAGAGATCCTTGCAAGATGTTAAGCTGTGATTATAAACAGTTTAATAGATTTGGTCACTACCACCAACATCGCGCATGCTGCTCATGAGGAAGAGCCCCTTTGTGGCTCGAAACTAGTAGAGCTTTACTCAGTATATTCACGTGGGTAATCCAAAATTTTATAGATTTGGACATCGCTAATTAGGGCCTCCAGTCATAGCGGTGTATCGTAAGAATCGACTCAGGAACTGCACATTTAAAAGAGATCAGGTAGCAGCACTCTCTAATAAACCAAAGTCCAAATCAAAATCATTCATTTCAATTAGACTAGGAAGACACTTTTGAACGTCAACAACAAAAATTTAGAAGAGAAGATAGTTGCTAATTCCAAAGTGTAGATTCCTATGGAGAAGAACGGGCAAGAAACTCCATAGGTTACTCTTTTTCAGGGTCCACAATACAATTCTCTAGTTACATGGTTTTGTTGGTTCGATTGTGTGAGAACAATGCGACACCTAAATCCAGTCAAAGAGATTGAAAAAGAAAACAACCTTGAGGACAATAAAACCTGAACCTTTGCCAAGTATTGAGATTATAGCCAACTCCTATATAGAGGATGTCATTAATATATTGTTGATGTGTGTGCGAAGTTTGGTGTGTTTTTATTTTATTTTTAATAGGGTATGAAAATTAAAAGTCTAATTAGTCCGTCAATTAGATAATGTCAAAATATTAGACACGTATTTTTTATTTTCTCGTATAAAGTTACAATACCTATATACAATGGAGTTAAGTTTAGGAGTGGGAGGTCTTTACGTGTGCTACATTTTGTAGCACTTTGTGACGTCACACGATATTTCAAATTAATATATTGAAAATATTTACTATTTTGAGAAAAGCAAAAACACGTGTGTAGTGTTTTAAACAAATGTACCAGACGGACTATTGTTTTATTTTACAATTTTATTTGCATTTATTTACCAGGTGATAAAACTCGCGAGCTACTAAACGCAGCGGGGTGGACGTTTATTGGCTGGGCGCTGCACTACGTGCCGTTCTGGGCGATGGGGCGCGTCCTCTACTTCCACCATTACTTCCCAGCTCTCGTCTTCAGTTCCATGCTCACAGGTAACATATTACTTATAATTATTACACTCGTTATTTAACCTTAGTCATATTATAAAGTTTGTGTGTTTGTGTGGATGTTTGTAACTCAAGCATTAGATCAAGTTGAAATTTGGAACGCGTGTAGATAGTTTGAAATAACACATAGGCTTTTTATCCTACATAAACGCGGTCAAAACCGTTGGTAGAAGCTAGTAGTAGAGTATCTTGTTACTCAAGTAAAACCGCTAGACCCGCAAGTGCAACTGCCCAGCAAGCTTTTCTGAATAAGCACGATGTCGGAAAGAATACCCTGTACATAACAATAGATTTAATCCCTATTACTTGGGACACAAAGTTGATTTGATTTTGTATTGGAAAAAAATGGCTCGCAAAACGTGCGTGTTACATCGTACATCAGGGATTAGAAGGCGTGAAGTTAACTTATTTTGCATTTACCTTTTAAAACACACGTAATTCGATAAATACTTTTCTTCTTCTCCACAGGCATCCTCACAGAATACCTGTTGACCAGCATCAAGAGCTTCCTGAGCCCAGAGCTTGGAAGAACGGTGTACCACTGCATCATAGGCCTTGTGCTCTCCACAACCATATACAGTTTCTATTTATTCTCTCCATTGGCTTATGGAATGAACGGCCCATTGGCCCATGAACCTAATTCCACCATGTCAGGGCTAAAATGGTTGGAGAGTTGGGAATTTTAGGCCTGTAAAACACTATTCTAGTATTGCGAGTGTGTGGGCGGCGTCGTAGCGTTTCTCACTAAATCCAACTGGCTTTTCTTTGAATGAAATTGGTATTATTATGTCACAAATTATGAACCCTTCGAGCGTCCTTCTGAGCACCCGGTGGATCATAAGAAAAAATGCTCCATGCTGGTTTCTCTTTTATAAAATCTATTAATAATGTTTTGTTTTTATTTTGACTGTATTTTTTATTTCTATTGTAATGATCCTTGTTTTCGTGTACCAATGGCCAAATAAATGAATTTTCTTTCTCCAAATGTCACGTGTGCACCCGTTGGATCATAAGGAACGCGGACGCTCGACGGGTTAATGAATTCTATTAAAATCATGATACAGTAAATATTGTAAATGTAAAAGTTTATATGCATAGATCTGATTATTATTTTCCATGTATGTTCTGAGTAAAATAAATTATTCAGTACAAAATATGCATGTAAACATGTCCTAAAAATAATTTAAATTAATTTAACTTGGCATAATTTTGAGACTAAGACTAAGAAGAGAGAATATAAAATTCTCCTGAATAAATAATAATATTCACGGGAATTTGGTACGGTTGGTCTTGGTGGTAATGGTAGTACAGTGGATGGTACATAATTAGAATATTTGACAGAATAAAGGATCAATATATAAATAAGTCTATGGATATGTACCATAACTGAGTGTGTTTGTAGGTTTTGAGTAGAGTGAATGTTATTTTTGTATCAATTTATTTTGAAAATTTTTATTAAGAAATTATTTTTATACTAATTTATTTTTTATATAATTTTGTCAATTTTAGAATAAGTGCTCAGATACTATATGCTTTAAATAATCCGTCCATAATAATATATTAAGAGAAACATATTATATTTTGTGTTTATTTATACATTTTACTTAATAAAAAGTTTATACAGTTGTGATCTTTTTTATTTGTCTCCGAAATTACTACTGAACATAGTCTTATTTTCCTATGTTACGCCAGAGATCTTTTTTATGGTTCCTACACACAATAGTGAAAACCTTTTTCTCATTCAAAATCAAAAATCAATGCGGATAAAAGCTAGTCTAGTAGCATTTATATGTCGCGGAGAACCTAACGGGTAACTGGGGCTCCGGCTCGACGTGCAGGAGAGGGAACGGGGTGGTTTTTAGTCAGTAAAAGTCTGACACTCCCTCCGTCTGAGTCTCGGTCGGGTAATACTTCTTTAACAGACTTTAACAGTTCAACTAGATGCTATTATTCAGTCGACCCGGATTTCGGATTGTGTCTTGGAAAAACAATACTATTTGTACACTCGAACGACTAATGGGGATGATGACAGGGTATGAAAATTGAAAATGTAATTAGTCCGTCAGTTAAGTAATGAAAAAATATTAGACACGTATCTTTTTATTTTGTTAACCGACTTCAAAAAAAGGAGGAGGTTTTAAATTCGACTGTATATATGCTTTTTTCGTATAAGAAAACAATAATTAGATAAAATAAAAAGTTCTAATTAGATATCTCTGATATTTGTCCATTGTATTTTCCATAACAACGACTAGATGGCTTGACTAGAGTAATAACTTGCAGTGATTGCAGTTAAGTTTTGTGTGTGTGTGTGTGTGTGTGTGTATAGCTTAAATATTTAAGATCAAAAGATACAAAAAAAACTAGATATTGTATTCCTATTACGTATTTATAACTACTCTTTAAAGACAAGATGTTAAAATACGTATTGTCTTTCGTTTATAAAAAGCATTACTTGTAGTCTATAGAACAAACTCGAAATTTGTTTTTCAAGCTGGCAATAATTTTTTATAAATTAAACCATAATATTGTAAATTAACGGGATAAAAGACGTTTACACTAATAACAACGTCCTTAATTATTTGCGTAAAGTGTTTCCGAACCATTTCTACGCCAAATAACGTAATATTTAATAAAAGTTTTGGCGCAACTTGTCAATATGTTTTCTTTTTAAATTTTGTATCTGGCCACTCACTCCTAAAATATTTGACATAAAAAAATACAATTACAAATGGCGTTTACGTAGTGTAGACAGATGTGTTCACGGCCACGATGGGCGATGATTCTTTGATATTACGAGAAGATGGTTATATACGTATGAACTTTCCTGTTACTTCTCTAACTTATCATAGCAACTTAAATATAATTCTGGTGAAGACTGACGTAGGTGGTGTACACGTTTTGGATGTGAACTCGGGTGTGATACTGCAGTCTTCTTGTCTGTCAGCGGGTAAGTAAGACGCTTATTATCTGCGAACAAAAGGTTTTTAATTATTTATGTTACCAATCATGCTGTATTTGATGAGATTAGGCTTAATTTTAGTCACGGATAGTTGGCAGTGACTTTTTTCGGTGCCCTACATTGTTTCTTGATTTGACAGTTCTCAATAAACAATTCCATTTATGCCGGATTGAAGTGTTGTCTTGTGTTTGAAGATGATGGTGGAACGCTTGGTGTGGAGTATGCGACGGGGGCGGATCGGGTGTTCGTGTGGGACAGCAGTGGGGTCGGTGCGCGCACTGACTACAATGGAGTGCTGCTCCTCCACACGGCACTGCAGCGCCCGCTGCCCTCCTCACAACCCGACAAAATCATAAGGATCGAGCTTGTATTGTCTGAGGTATGTGCCATGCAATCACTCACGGTGCTATCGTGAATAATTGATAGGTAGCACTAATCATGTAAATGTAGGTAATGCAAACATGATGAACAATAACTGGATGCAAATGAGATGCTAATGTGTTTATTTATATATTTATGCAAGAGAAAAGTGTATCAGTACAAAAGATAAGACTTTTATTTTCAAAAAAAAGTCTTGTACTACCTACCTTCTTATTTATTTGTTATTTTTATCCATCAGCATATTCTAAAAACCAATAAGCATGCAATAAGAATCAGAATAGTAATAAAAATGAAAAGCCCGTTAATATTAGCTACATTACATAAAAATGTTTAAAACTTATCTAAGACTTTATTTGAATAGAACAATAATGAATTAAACTAAGTAACAATATGCAACAATGAACATAATAAATTTTTTTTTTTTTTAAACATGCAATGATGGTGTTATAGATACTCCTACTAGATTCTTATGATGGATGCCCTTATCAATTTAATATAACTATTGTTTGACACTCTTCCTGTTATTAATTTCACACTTTATTCTAATGTAATTATTGTAATTGTGTTGAAAATTATAACAAGTTGTGTGTCATAATCTTGTCTATGTCTAATATCAATCTATGGAAGTATAGAACAAAGAACTTGGTTAGGACATTTGATGTCTTTTATTTTTAATGTTTTACTGAAGTATCAACTGAATCAATATTTTCATGAAAATGTAACAAATTTGTAATGATTTCAAATTACAATTTGTTAAACTAAACAATAATTAAATTGTTAAACAAATATGAAAACCACCGAATGGGTATACGGTATTACAAAAAATCTTGCTACCCACCAATAGCATAAAAATAATTCTTAACGACTACTGCACCCATTGACAGCAATCCTATAAGAATACAACATTTTCTCCTGTATTTGTATATACAAATTTGGTAGGATAGAATGGGACAGGCAAGAACAATGAAGCACCACATTAAAAAATCTTTAGCTTTTGTCACATTTACATGTCATATTAGCAAGCAAGATGCCAGGGCAGAGTACTCTACACCTAAGTTTAAAAAGATTTCAATAAGATTTTGTAACAGAAAGTAATTACTTCAAATACTATCTTTTATTATAAATCGGTGAAGATTGGATTGTTCTATCTTATATGATTATTGTAAATTGATGTATTTTATTGTTTGTTAGTTATTTTTATAGCAGTATTTAATATTTGTTTATTAGTTTTTGACTATGATTTATGGTTATGCGGGGATGGACATATTATTTAGGAATTTACATTTCAGGTAGTTTATAAATTCTATCTATTCTATTACAGAAATTGATCTTGCTCTTTGAATGTTACCCACAACCTAGGGGATAATTTTTTTTCAATATTAATTTATTGAAAAATGAGGGTTAGATGTTAATTAATTATTAATTAGGAACTATTCCACAGTCCAATTGGATCCTTATTTATCTTTGTTTGACTGATAACAATGAGAAAAGATTGGTTTTTGATAAACTTAGATCAAATTAAACCAAAAAACTAAAAATGCACTTCTATTTCTTCTTCTCTCTTGATTTTATACAGATTAACCCGTTGTGTCTTTAAATGTGGATCCACACAAGACACAATGTATTTTCTATTGTGTCTCATATTGGTGCATTCAAGCGGTTAATAAAATAAATAGATTTATGCACAATACCTTCCAGTACCTTATCAGTATTAATTTTTTAGTTGGGTGGTTTCACAGGCATTGACATTGTGTAAAAATGATCTCTACAAGAATAATTATTGCCTGTCCCAGTCTATAACACAGTCCACTCTTAAACCAAGAGGCATTCTCTACATAAGAAGGTTAACCCTTATCTCTGTGATTAGAAAAAAACTTGAAAGGTTGTGTAACTGATGAATCATCGCTTACCACCAGGCGAGATGGTGGCAAACGTCAACCTATCAAATATAAAAAAAATAAATAAAAAATACTTCAAAATGTGTAACTCTTCTAATCTTTATGGGAAGTAAAAGGTAACATTGTGCTATGCTATTGTGTAATAATTATGTTAAGAGCCAATTAAGTTTCTGTTAGCTAAACTGACACGTGATTTGAATCATTTTATATAAATTCGTTTTTTACCGTTTTAAGAGTGTATGATTTACTATTTACTTAATAGCACAAGGCACACATGCCACATCTGGTGTTGGGGGTGTCTATAGGTAGCACTGATGGCTTACCATCAGGTGATCAGCCTGCTATTTTACCTCCTAATATATAAAAAAATGCATTACTCCAAGTGCTCTGCTCCCCCTATATTTAATGTATATTGGTGAATGAGGTTTTTGACTGCCTCATTTGCCGAGTGGTCGCAAGTGCTGCCAGGCAAGGGGTCTTGGGTTCGAATCCCAGGATAGGCAAAGTATTTCTGAATTTTTAAGAAAATCTCAGTAGTAGCATGGAGTCTGGAAATGTGACTAGTATATGGCAATAGGCTCACCCTCTATTACATGGGACTCATAACATAAAATAGTGAAAAGTGGGTGTTACATTGTACAGTCACATTAAATGCTGTAATGTGCACCTCTGCCTATCCCTTTGGGGATAAAAGGCTTGATGTTATGATATGAGCATCATCATTATCACATCAGCCCCAAAATATTCATAGCTGCACTTGCACATTTTCCAATGACATTGTTACATTGATATTGACACAAAATTCATTCTTATAATGTATCATTTCAGGTTTTCATATAGCTGATTGCAACAACTTTTTAACTGGATTAGTGACTAATCCAGTTACAGTGTTTCATTCATATGTAGATGTAGGTGTTTGAAATGTGAATGAAACTTATTATTTCATACATTTTTATTTAACAGTTCACAGGAAGTTATTATACTTACTATTGTAATACCATTCTTGCCTTTCATGTGCTACTTTATATGAAAAGAGGGTGTTACTTAAAGTTCGTTTATTTATTTTTGTATTTGGCTTTACTTCTAGATTTATTACTGACTAGCTGTTGCCCGCGACTTTTGAATATGAATTTTAGGAAATAACATTTATTCGTTTTAATTTTCAAAATAAAAGTAACCTACTATGTTATTACTTAGTATATGAGCTGCCTGCCTGCCAACAAAAGTCACGTCAAAATCTATCCAGCTATTCCAGAGACTAGCCAGTACAAACAGACAGACAGACAAAAATTGATAATATATTTTAGTATGGGCATCGTTTGTATATTCATACGCATGTAGTAAAAAGCAGTTATTTCAATATTACAAAAACAGACACTCCAATTTTATTTATCTGTATAGGTACATGAATTTTCGTCAAGTCACCATAAAGTATGCAGTAATATGCTTGAAAATCAATCTTGATAATATTTAAATGGAAATAAATAAATTACAAGAATGTTTTATATCTGTCTGCCTTTTTTTAAAAACGTTGCCCCACATTTTTTTCTTGCTCCTCACTAGGATTTTCTCCTGTATCGTGGGTGCGTTTAAAAACATACAATTTCACATTCACGTGACACTCAGACCTGAAACAACAATTAGTGGATCATATGCGGGAATCGAACCCGCTACACATTGTGTAGCACTCAGTTGCCCAGCCACCAACCGTGCAGTCTTTTTACGAAATTGAATTCTTATTATTTTGTTTTGTAACTATCGTGAGACATACTAAATAAATTATTATGTTTTCGGGTTACTCACGTAATAATTTGACGAGGAACTCGACTAGTTTCAAGCCATGCTAGAGGTTCATATTCATGAGCAGACTGTCGCGAATATGAGCCTCTAGCATGGCTTGAAACTAGTCGAGTTCCTCGTCAAATTATTACGTGTGTAAGCCGAAAATATAATAATCTTATTAATTTGTTATGTTGGTAAAAAGTCTACGGGCGATACTGACCACGTTTTTATCAAGTTAGCTTGTTTGCACACAACACACACAATAACATTAACTTTCCAATAGATAACAGTGTTTGCGACCGTCTTAAAATAAAGATGTTGGCATTTTAAGTCCAATACTTGAGTACAATATGAGAAAATTAATAAATTATATGAAATGTTTACACAGCAGGCTTCGTTTTAACTGCTTGTTAATTATGAATAAGTTAGTAATAAGCTACACATTTTTATGGTCGCTCAGTGTACGAAATTCAACCACAATTCATATTTTATGAAGATTCTTTTGTACCAAATTGTATGATAAATAATATGTAAGTTTTATTTTTAGTATCCATACTATCCATCCACCATTAGGATGGTAGGTTAATTTAGGGTTTTTTTGAAAATTCTTCAATCTAAATTCTGTAAAAGCTTTTCAACGAAGTCTTAAAAAAAAAATTAAAGTTAAAAGATTTAACCCCTTCCTGATTGGTTATTTATGAACACGATACGACAAAGTTGAGTAGGTTACGCGATGTCACCGCGTCTGCGCGCGCTGCATATGAGTAAGAGGCCCTCTGTAACTCGAAACTAGTAGAGCTTTTCTTAACATGTTTACGTGAGTGATTTTTAGTTATTTAGTCTTAATATATTTACGTGAGTAAACCATTATTTTTTGTTATTTAGTATGTCTTACAATAGTTTTTATAAAAAATGGCGCTTAGGAACAGAGCAGACAAATTGCATAAAAATAAGTCTATATACCTATATAAAAATGAATCCCTTTTTCCTTTGGTCACGGCAGCACGCGTGAATGGCTGGACCGATTTCACAATTTATTTTTTCAGGAGAATGTTCCTGCGGCAAATAAAAATACTGAAAATCTTATATGGGAACGGGAGAAAACGGGATTGCGCGTACGAAGTCGCGGGCTGAAGCTAGTTTCATATACATATATTGGTGTAAAAACTATGAAAATTTAAAATTACATAGAGATTACTATCAGACCAATAAATTTTAGTTATAAATTAAAAGAAAAGTATAGTTTTATAAGCATATTGTGTGCATCAAGGCGTGCAACACATAGACTGTTAAATATGTGGTTTAGAAGAAATGCAGAATCTCAACAATCTGGCTTACATTATGTATGAAATTAATTAAACAGCAACTAATTACTGGAACCCAAAACTTTATCTATTACTCTATTTGAAAATGCACTCGTCACGCCTTACCTTAAACCAGACTATAATCTTTATAACTATCATTAGAAGTATAGTCTTAAACTTTCTTTTTTTTAAACTTGTCTCAGATTTGGTAGCAATAATAGGTAAACTAAACTGCTAATCTCCACAGAGACCGAACAGCGGCTCTCTCTCCTAAACCTGAACCTTTTAGAATAATAGTAAAAAATAAATAAAAATGATTTCAGTATTCGAAAGTTTCAGCAGTTAATCAGTAGGTGTATTATAGAGGTGGGCTCCGTGGCAGGTCTATTAGAGAACCCGGTGTCGCGTAAAGCTGCTGAGGCTGAGGGTGACCATCAGAGTGGTTTTAGTGAGGTAAAAATCCCACTCTCTGGTCTTTCTCCCCAAAAGGTTAAGCGCCTCTTGAAGGTTTCCCTCGTAATAAAAAGGTATATTATGGAGGTACCTCTTTTAAACATATATAGCATGATATTTATGTCAATTAATTTGTACCATACCAAATATATGAATGACCATTTAAAATGCCGCAAGAACTTTAATTCTTAGCTACTTTAATCTGCCAATGCTTTATTTAAAACTTTCGGCCATTAAAAACACAGTCTTAACTCGTCGAGTACCGGTTTTATAGACACAATTAAAGAACAATAGGTCGCGGTCACCGGTGACCGCTTGGTGTTTGACAGATTAATTCAGATTGAAAAAATATTCCGGCAAAAACGGGAACGATCTTTTTTATTTTTATTTATACTTTATTGCACACACAGAAAAAAAATTGTAAACATTGCAACAGTAATTTAAGTACAATGGGCGGTCTTATCACACGCGGCGATTTCTTCCAGACAACCTTTGGATGGAATTTTAGAAAAGAATCTGGGAATGGGTGGTAGTTGCACAATAAAAAAAAATCTTCTAGTTTGTATAATCTTTATTCTAGAATTTCTAAGTATTGGTAGTCCTGAAACTTCCCACATCATTACAATTTAGATAAATTCCACTTTCTTCCTCGATTTGGCGCATGCGTGTTGGAGTTTATATTATTTTTGGAATCGCATTTGTTGACCTTACATCATCTCAGGTCAGGATTCAGATTAATTCAGATTTATGGAAAACTGTATTGGATAGGTATTCTGTATTAATTCGTGTCTAATTATTGAAATATTCCATTGTTACAAGATATTTTCTTTTTCAAGAGTTTTTTTGAAAGCATATCTTCGCGCCATATTTCATGGAGTGTTATTTTTACTATGGACAGTTAAGTAATCTTTTTGTCTATCCAACATACAAATATTTACAACACCATAATATTAGAGCGAACGTACTGTCGGTAGTAAACTAAACTGCCAAACTTGCACTGAGGACCAATAGTATTCAATACTTTAAACAACTCGGACATTGAACTGCACAATAATTTATAAAAGCAACTAGACAATAACTTATCTTAATAACAATACTAATTATAGAGAATTTAAAATAAATATATGGAAATACTAATTAAACTAATGAATACAAAAAATCTATACGATACCCAATGCAATCGAGAGCCATAGGAAGTAGTGATACACACACGTTTGTGGCAGGATATGATTTATTACAAGTATAACACAAATTATGCATTAGAGCAAGCTTATCGTCATTACCGGTTTTACGATAGCAAACTGCCAATGTTACGGACAATCTATCTTCTATATAAAAACGAAATGTACTACTACCTACGGGTAATTAATTACGGAACGGCTGCACCAAGTTTGATGACATTTTGTCTGTAGTTATTGTTTTTCGGCTTACTTGCGTAATTATTTAACCAGGAACTTGACTAGTTTCAAGCTATGCTAGAGGCTCATATTCATGAGTAGCATTTCGCGACCCGCGACGCAACGACTGTCACGCTGCGACTGACGCTGAAACTAGTCGAGTTCTTCGTCAAATAATTAAGTGAGTAAGCCGAAAAACATAACAATTAATTTTGTCTGTAGTGTTCGTTTGTTAAGGCAAGGTTTTGTCAAATACACTGGGAAATACAGGAAGCGGATAGCCCGTAATTTGGTATCTTTAATTTTTTTACAATGTGCTATCACCATTTGTTGATATATTGTATCCATGGTTTAATGTCGAATTGTCGAGTTACATAGAAGATTGAGAGGTGTGGAGCTATATCTGCAAACATTTTACCGGTAGTGGCGTTGTTCACATGTTATAGGGGGCGTATACATCGCCGTATCTAGGTCAAACTTCAGGCTTAAATCAATCTAGGCTAGGCAAGGGTAAATTATATTGTGTAATACAATTATGATGTGGACACAATATTCGAACGGCATTGGTTATTGTAAAATTGAACTGTTTGACTGGAATACACTTTATCAATAGAATAACTTAATCTATCGTCGAATTATACCCATTTACAACGCACAATTCCAGATTGCGAACTGTTACTAAGAGTTTCTGAATAGCCGAAAAGCTATTTACTTTTGCCCTACTTACCTAGGAATAAAAGCTTTTGCTTAGACTCGATCAATATAGTAGGTATAACTACGTAATAAATTGTGCGCTGTCAGGCTCTAGGGTTTATTGTAGCGATTTACCATCAAATAGTACCTCTTAGGGCGTTTTTGCACAAGTTACGCCATTATTTGCGGTAACGGTATTATGCGTAACTACACATCGTACACTTTATAAGGGGCTCGGGCACTCCGCGTCCTTTGTTTTCTATAACTTATTTAGTATAATTACGCATTCTTGTTTGTATTGCTTTTTCCTAATATTTATTTGTATATTAAAATGTTTTCTCAATAATCGATAATGTTGTAAATAGGTGTAAAAGTAGATAAAAATATAGATTTTTTACTAGTTATTTTTTTAGTCTCATTCTAATTTATAAAGACTGGCACAAATATCGCATCGACCACAACCAAAAACTTCTGAAAGATGAAACTGTTAGTAGAATTGAGTTCGGTCGTAAGTCGTAAAGTCGTAACCGCATTTTATCGTGTCGTACGGTGGCTTGTAAACAAATACTCACCCTGTAACGATGCGTGATAACACGCGAAATGACGTCATTTACCTGCCTAATTAAAAAGTATAACAACGTTTTGATGACACCTAATTTAAACTGTCAAACACCAAGCGGTCACCGGTGACCGCGACCTATTGTTCTTTAATTGTGTCTATAAAACCGGTACTCGACGAGTTAAGTACCTATTTGCTATATTTATATTTATGAGATGGAATGTAGAGCAAACGTGAAGGAAAGATTGATTATGTGAATGATGTTTAAGGAAAATATCAGATGTTGCAATGCAAGTGAATAGATGTAATACATTATAATAATATGCTTTTTCTGTTATCGGACATTTTTATTTGTCTTTTTTTGTTGTATGTCGCGTATTTCATGCCCTTGGTTCTCTCTCATGCAGAGGGGTGGCCACGACCCTCAGCACTGAGGAAAAGGATTTGAGGAGAAGGATGTTCCCTGTTTTTTATTCAGAGGTTTATTAGTTGTTGGCTTGGTAGTTACAAAGTTAAGTTAGAGACAGATAGGTTGTTAGTTAAGAGGAAACAAAGTTAAAAATATCCTGATATGAAAAGTAAGAGAAAAATTCTTTGAATATAAATGTTTGGTATTAAAAGCATTTTTGTTTAATTGTGCACCAAGTGAACTTCTACCTACATACGCACCTATATTTCGCTGTGACGTAACATCTGAAGGTCATTCACTTTTATCGTGAAGGGGTACTTACATACCCTTACGTACGGAGTAAAGCTATTTAGGTTTTCTTCCATTTAGCATTTTGTATATTTAAAGAAAAAGGTACTCCTTTTTCTTTCTTCTAAAGGAGTTCCATTTTAAAGCAAAACTAAAAAACAAAAAAACAAACTCTTCATCCTTGATCTTTTTTTTATTCTCTTTTATTGTTTTTATGGGGTTTATGTCCTAACCTTATCTAATTAAATATACTCTATGTAAATGAAAAGGAATCATTAACAAGGTCTAGATATCGGAAAAGTTATGTCACCCTCATCAGTTCACACAACCTTTTTGCAATCTTCATTTTAGGATTTGCTAAAATGTTTTGAACTAGCCCAACATCTAATTTATTCAACTTATATTTTCTAATTAATGATTCCCTTTCATTATTGTTCCTGGCACATTCCATTAGCAAATGTTGTACGTCCTCTAATTTGTTGCATAGTTCGCAATTGAGTGATGCAACCTTCCGCATAAGTTATCCGTGATCTTTTGATGTGATTAACACTGCACTCCCTCCCGCCTCACCCAGGCGGAAGCAGTAATTCGATGATTTTCCCCCCTTAAAAAAATACATTTATAATATTAGTAAGATGATTTGAAAATAACAGTTATTATATTACCTACCTTTTATCCTAGTTAATTGGACGAACTTATAATATCTAGTAATAATGTATTTTGTATTCATTGCAGGCCGTGCTCCTGTACCAATGTCTTCAGAGTCTAGACGCCCACTCCATCGAGGGTCTGACAGACTTTATCAACGAGCTGAAGAACTCCATCGACGCAGAACCTGTCAGGAAAGGAGTGAAGGCACAGAAGGTGAGAATCTTAATAAGTTTATGCTTTACCAAGCAGTTTCAATAATTGTTAGATAGATAGATAAATAGATTCAGTTATTTGCCTGAAATATGGTGTTTTACTGAATTTATAACATAATAATAGTTCATCATATCCCGCCTATAAATTCGGCATGCAATTATTTTAACAATAAGTACCCAACAATATGATTCAAGACATGGGCGGCGCTAATCACAACATCAGGTGATTAGTCTGCTCGTTTGCCTCCTATTCCATAAAAAAGCAGAATAATCAAACTACAATTTCTGATAATTATTCTAAATTAAAACAAATTAAGTTACAATTTCTAATAGTCACATAAAATATTTGAACTATATTGTCAGTAAATTAAGTTGGTTTATCAAGAATTGAAATTAGTATGGAAGATTAAGAATTCAACTTCGATTGTTTCCGTGATCATCATCTAATGAGCAAATGCGATCTTACTTGTTTCATAATAGATTTCGATATAAGTGACAAATATTTTAATTCATTTTATCATTGGACCATAAATTAACTCGTCGAGTACCGGTTTTATAGACACAATTAAAGAACAATAGGTCGCGGTCACCGGTGACCGCTTGGTGTTTGACAGTTTAATGACGAAAAGTGTTGCACAATATTATGTACAAACAGATTCATAGTGTGGTAACTACGCCTGAGTTTTGCGCTTCTACAAATCAATGCTCTTTCGTTTTTTCTAGGCGCCCGTTTATGTCAGTGATACACTAATATGTGGTAGCGAAACTTGTACTGTCGAACTTTGCATCGCTACGAATTATTTCAATGATTACAATAAATGTAGAAAGTACAAAGTTGGAATAAATTTAATTACTGTTTGGATCCAAACCATTATTTTGGATATTGTATTCATTATCCTTTCCTACACGTTTAATTTTAAGTGACGTAATACACATAACCTCACGCCTGTCTCCCATGGGGGTAGGCAGATACTATAGAACGCCAAATGTGAACTTAATATACAATTTATAAATAAACTCGATCTTTATCCACAGTGGAGCACAGTAACAATCTGCCTACCACAATCGACCCTTCGGCTAGTGACCACAGGCGTGGTCCAAGAGCTGAAGGGTCAGAACCGGCGGATACCAGCGCTGGCGATCGCGTCCGCAGTCGGCCAGCGCGCCAACGAGCTGGTGCCGTGCTCCCGCGATGAGGAGACCAGGCCGCTCATGTACAGCGAGGCCGAGAGGAAGGAGACCTTCAAACGATGGCCCCACATGGACTACAAGTGAGTTGATTTAACGAATATACCTAAAATGAACAAAAAATTTCAGAAAATCAAACCAAACAGAGAAAGGGTTTGTCGTAGTGCTACACACAGCAAAAGTACAGAACAGATAGTTCTTACTCACATTTCACTAGTTACCGATTGAGTTCGTAATACGTAGATGTGTTACCGGGGCTCCGGCTCGACGCGCAGGAGAAGGAACGGGGTGGTTTTTAGTCAGTAAGAGTCTGCTCACCCACACTCCCTCCCGCCTCACCCAGGCGGGAGCAGTCATTCGATGATTTTCACCCCTTAAAAAAACGCAGAACTTATACTAGATTGTCGTTACACGTCAGGTGGACGTAAAAATAAATATGACTTGGTTACTAAATTCAACTTGAGTTATTTTTTTAAGACGGAGGAGGAGGAGGAGGCGGAGGAGCCTTCTCCTATAGGTCTATTTAATAACACGTCACTTAGCTCGATCTTCTTCTCATTGTATCCAACCACGGCCAACCAGAATCTATAACCCAACTATTCATTTTCTTCCCCAACAGATGGGCCCTTCCAGCTCGGATGGCACAAGCGGGCTTCTACCACCAGCCGTCGCCTAGTGGTGATGACCGCGCCATGTGCTTCACATGCCTCGTCTGCCTGGTCTGCTGGGAGAAGTCTGACGAACCCTGGGTGGAACATGAGAGGCATTCTCCCAACTGTCCCTTCGTAAGAGGCGAATACACCCACAATGTGCCCATATCGGTAAGTTTAGATACAACATATTCATTAATATTACATATTCATAATACAACTGATTCACTTCGTTGCGGGAACCAAGACTCATGTTCCTGAGACGCGCCGGACTTCAGTGTTCCGGTGTTTTCATGGTTGTATCTACTGTAGATCCTGGCTTACAGGAGTTGCAGCGGTTTTGGGAGGTTGTGGCGGGCTTGTCCCAACAAAAAAAAAAATCATTAATGTAATTATTGTTTCATAATTTTTGTAACTAAGATGAAATTGTTAGAAGAAGTCATCATTATGTGGATACTTGACGTCATGGAGCTTTTATTGAAGCCTTTTATTTCGTCGACCAACGTGACTAGCATTTATTTCTTGTATTATACCGTAGGATTTGAGGAATAAGTCTTTAATATACATGTAGTTTTTAGATTCAGGGCTCATTTTACCACCTTCATATACATAGGTAAGTACCCGATGGACTTAAGATAAAGATAGTTCATACGAATTACGTCGATAATTCAGATTTAGCTGGCACATTGTAAACAGGTCCTCATGTCGCCCTCAATAAACGGCTGTGATTTCACTGTAAACTGTCTTAGAAAAATCATCTAATTCTGGTGCAATATTTCAAAAGTATATTGTAATGTGTTTTACTTATTAGCTATTTCGTTTAAATGTTGTTATCGTATTTTAGTCACGTTATTACTTTAAATTAGACAGACAATTTTACAGTATGTCCAGTTATGTTATTTATTAGTCCCATTATAAGGAAGGAAATGAAAGATACTAGAAAAGGGTCAGATGTGGAGTCCCTTCAACAGTGTGTTTGTGTGATCAGGTGCATGAGTATGGAAGCTCATGCGAGAATTGTAATAACAAAGATGTGAGTGTAAGAAGGAGCCAGACTATTAATTGTCGAAATGGGACATTGTGCTAATCAATAAAGAAAAATGCCTTTCCCAATAATAGGGATGAAAACAGGGTATGAAAATTAAAAATCTCTTATTAGTCCGTCAGTTAGGTAATGTAAAAATATTAGACATGTGTTTTTTTATTTTGTCGTATGAAAACAATACTTAGATATAGTAAAACGAATCAAAGTTTAGGAGTGGAAGGTAGCTACGTCGTTTTAGAGTATAAATCGTACTCAAAAGTGACGTCATGCGATATTTCAAATCAATATACATCTTCGAAACTATTCGTTTCCGTAAGATAATAAAAAGTACGCGTCTAACGTTTTAAAATTATCTACCAGACGGACATTAAAATAAGAAATAGTCATCTACCCTATTACCTTTTTTGTTAATCCCCTGTGAATCCTATATTCTTTAGTTGCCAATTTGTTCAACTAAGCAGGATTTAAGCTGTTTTTTAAAGTGATGTAGGTATTTATATATGAAGCATTCAAGTCAAGGAATATTGCCACACACTCAAACAGTTACACATTATTTCTATTGTTTGATATCCCGTTGTGAAGTTATTCCATGAAAATATTCGAGTGTTCTCACTATCCAAAACATTTTCCTTATATTTCAGTCAAAGACTAGTCATCATTTCTAACTAAAATTGACATAATCACAGTAAACACGTGTATTATAAAAGTTATAAAAATAGCATTGTAATCGAGACCTATGATTAATTAAATAAAAAACATTTATAGTCGTATTTTCCTGTTATTTTTGTACTCAACTAACCGGTCCGAGTGGATTGGACTTTAACATTATATCTCACACATTCCCAAAATTATGACCTATATCTAACCACATAAGGATCACAATAACACAGCACGACAATCTACCTACAAACGTGTGCGAATTTCATCTCTATATCATCGAAATAAAGTTTGTTATTGCAATTTAACAATACAAACTCATTTGTGAAATCATCGTAAGGAAACCACCTTTGCAGTCCAGAGTACAAAAGCACTTAGTTTGCTGACGTCCATCAAAGACCAAAGTCCAAATTATGTCATACTTGTGTCACTACAATTTTTTGTACTACGTATACACGATTATCATAACTCGTCATATGACGTAAGATAAAGAAGTTGAATCGCAAGCCACGCTGATTCGACATTATTCGAATGTATTATTTCACCGTGATTCATAGATATACAAACTTCTTGTTATTTCATCTGTACTGTATGATGAAATTCGCTTTGTTGATTGCAAAGCTTGTTAAAGGTTTGGGTAAACGCGTGATGTATCAGTTTTGGTGTTAAGTTACGGTTTTTTTAATGGGGTATGCATTGTGTGAGGTACAGTTAGTTTTCATTGCATCATTAACTAGCATGTTAACAACATTTGATTAAATGCATGCCAACTTTAGACTGCACGGTTGGTGCGGTGGCTGGGCAACCGGCTGCCGTGCTACGTGTCGCGGGTTCGATTCCCGCACGGAACAACACTTTGTGTGATCCAGAAATTGTTGTTATGTGTCTGAGTGTCATGTATGACCATGTATGACAGGTGGAATTCATAGTATGGAGGAATGTTTTTTTAAATAATATATCTATATTTTTTCACTCTATTTTATTACTGAAAATGTTGGAGAAAAGAAAGAGAAAGTAATAAATTGCTTTTCATCTTGATTCACATATGTTTGATGCCTATGTATTACTATAAGTATGTAGGTGAAATTTTCCCTTTTCGACGCAGAGTTGAGACTTACAAATTGTCTTACAAGCTATATATTATTTCATTATGTGCCGTCTCATATGCTTAGGTAAGCAAGCATGATCTTCTTTCTTACTTTTTTATCCACTTCAAAAAAGTTTTTTTTTAATATTCCTATAATGTTTTTTTTCTTTATTTAGATTTTCAATGAGACTATTCAAGAATAAATAAACGATGTTTCGGTTCGTAATTAACTCTGTTTTTTTTATAATTCCTTCCTATAGTTTTACTTACACAGTGTATGCAAGTGTGCAGGTGCTTGCACACCATAGCTTCTTGCAAATTTAATTAACTTTAGTCGCGGAAAATAAGGCAGCTCAATGGGGTACTTTCCTTAATCAAAAATAAATCATATCGACAGTTCAATAAAGTAAAATATTTAAAAATATTTATGTTATTTGTTTCTTATCTTATAATTACACATGCCTATTTTTCGCCGATTTCCTATTTAACCCTAAGGTTGACTGGGAGAGAATGCCATATGGCATTCATGTCCGCCTTACGTACCACTACTTGTTTCTGTGTATATTAAAGTGTAGATAAATAAATAAAAATAAACACACTTTCATTAATTGGATTTTATGACTAACTTAATTTTAGTATATTTCCAGCAAATTTTAAAAAATAAATATGCTGTTTGACTCTGAAATAAACGTGACGTCACAATACACAATCTCGTACAATATTCATAGAAAACTGTCGTTTTTTGACTGTTCAAAAAAGGTATTGAACTTCGCCAGTTGGCAAGTATCTTATTGTGATATTTATAGTTGCACATCCGCTCTTTGTGGGTCCCAGAGTACATGTGTACGTACTTACTAGGTGATTTTGACAACAGTTTAATAGCATTTGGGTTTCTCTGAATAAAAATCTAGACCTTAAGAGAAGACAAGAGATTAATTTCACTGCCTAAGTAAAACCATCGAAATTAACTGCTCAATCCTTAAGTGGTCATTGATGACCGCTCTCCACTAGCCCTAAGGCTTTTTTATTTTATATTGTTTATTATATTTATTTAAAGTATCCTGATGGATCGTGAAGTTCACGACTATCTTACAAAGAGATTGGTTGGGATTCCTTTGTAGATTCACTAAGTAGTAGCTTCATGATGACAAGCGTGAGAAACACATGATTAGTAAAATAAATACAAATTCCTCGCAGGCTTATACATACATACACATGTCATAATATTGTGTAACTTATTTTAAATTGTTCTTCTGAAAAACCTATCTGATATTTCACTGTAATAATTAATGTTAGATTTATATACATTTAACGTTGTGGTCTCTTAATAAATTATAGATAGCACAGAACATGTTCATAAACGTAAATTTTTTGTTGACATAATCGAAACACTGCCATTAATATAACATTTTATAGGTAAATGAATTTTTATTATACCAAACCCTTTTTCAAATTAGGAATGGAATACCTCAATAAACCAATTAGAATATTCGAATTTGGCACTTTTAATTAGACTTTCTAGGAAGATTTCAACAAAAGAACACTGAAAAACAACACTGATTTCAAACACTGACAACACTGAAATCATTTTACTCCTTATTAAGAATCTTACTGAAAACTCTTCACATAACTTAATCACTATTTTCTTTTTGCCACCCAAAACTACTCTTATAAAATTTAGAGCGAACTGTTCTGTATAATTACGTGAATTCTAAAATGATCACATTCAACACAACATTTAGGAATCATTACTTGTTATATTCCATTCCCGCCGGTAATTAATATTTGACGAAAGTTTAGCCATTTTGTTTTTGTCTCTGCTGACATGGCAACAGATCTGGCCACCTCTAGGATTATGGATGTCCATAGACGATGATGCTCAATAAGTTACACAGATATTATTGGCCACATATTTATTTAAATTCACTTATTGGGGTAAATTATTACATAGCTATTTAAAGTTATTGCACTGTTCACTAATTAAACTTGCACTGATACTTGATAGGATTTAAATTATTATATTGAAGTTCACAGTGTACTCACAGCTTTAAACATTTTTCACATGCTTTGTATTTTTTTTCATGTAAGGAACAACGTGTACGTGTAAATCTTTTGTTTGCGTGCCACCATAGACAGCCAAATAAAAATATTAAGATCCAATATGAATTTGATTTTTTTTAATAATTAATTTTTAATTAAAAGCTCGTATTTTTTAAATGAAATTGTATTGTTTTTTTTTTATTCTCGTTAGTGTGAAATTTATTAGTAGCTTAGAATATTAGTACGATAATATAATATATTTTTCTTAAAACTTATCTCCACGATAAAAAAAATTAATATTAAAAAAATATTTTTAGAATTATCGCTGAGATAAGTTTTGGTTTATCTTGATTTGGTGACACGCCTACAGCAGTCTATTGCGGTGGGTGTGGTGTACCATCACTAGTTTTTCACTAAGGTAACATGTCCCATCACTAGTGCACTAATGTTTGCTGAGAGCCACGCATGATCGTCTGCGCACGGCGACCGCGATAACATAACTGTTCATCAATTACTTGTAAAGTTTCGACGCAGGAGTAGTCCTAATTATCAGTCAGACATGGAGGCGCGCCCAGCCATCACAGACGCAGTGACTGGGCAATTTTTTTATCTCAACTCACCGTATATATGTAAAATACATCATCAATAACAGTTTAGTGTACAAGAAGACTTGTTGCCAATCTAAGTAAATATTTAGTGTCATAATCAAATTGAATATAAACAGATAAGATTACTGGATCAAGTACCGTTGCTCCTTAGGTGACGCGGCGTTTTTTAAAAGTATCTACGTAATGATGACGGAGTGCTATCGTAGAGCCTGAACTTAGGTGCCAGTGGATGGTTAGTTCGGTGTGTCATAGTTCGCCGGTTGAATTATCCGCAGGTGACCAACGCGACAGCATGTGCGGTGCCTTGTACGAATGTGACGGTGGTGTCGAAGGGCAACACAGGGGACCTCATCGCGACGGGCACTCCTGAGGGCAAAGTGAACATCTGGCGGTTCGACTGTGGCCTCAAACTTGTCAAGTTCATTCACCTGTCGCCGTATGATTCGATATTCAGTGGCATACTGGCGACTGACAGCAATAAAGTATGGTCAGCAAGCTTGGAGAAGGATAGTTGTGAGTACTTTGTCTTGTATTGTGTTCATTCTGCTGCTTCTGGATTTAATTTATCAAAATGTTAATTTACATAACATAACATGACACCTTTTATCCCCGAAGAGTGTAAGCAGAGGTGTACATTCGGGCAATTAATGCCACTTATTGAAATGTTAATTTATTTGTTTATTAATGTACATTTTTTATCGATCAATAACTTGTACTTTAAAATGCAATCGTTTTGTTTTGAGTCAGCTGTGGTATACAGTTGGTTTTCCTCTCCTCCACAAACTTTTTAATGTGGTTGATGTTTGTTTTCATTTAACAATAATTAATTTTTCTGTTATTTATAAATTGTTGTTGTTGCTATAGCTACATACGGCGTCGAGCTGACGGCGATGGCTTTCGTCGGGATGACGTCACAGCAAGAAGTTTACCCACAGACACAAAACACAGAGAGCACAGAGAAAGAGACGAACACCAACAAAACGAAACCGTCCCTCATCTGCGCCGTCATCATCACTAGGACAAACACCACACAGACTGACCAGCCCATCAAAGAAGACTCCAGCAAGGCGCTCTTCGATTCGGGAGCCGACAAAGAAAGCGTTCAGGCAATGAACGATCAAAATGAAGCAAAGAATAATTTGACAACAAATAAAATGCTCTTCCTTTTAACATATGACATACACAGCTCATTAGCTGGTTCAATAACCACTGTAGTACACACGTCAAACAGTAGCGGTAACTCCAAACCCGGCGGTAGCAAGAAAGTGTGCACGGTACCGAGGCCCGACGACGCGAACATTTACGACGAGATATACTTCCAATACTCCGACGAGGACACAGAGCTTCCACAATGCACAAATAGCTTAGACGAGCAAATTAGTAATGTTATTAACTTGAACGCATCGTCCAGCAAGGAAGATTGCAAAATATGGGAACCTAAGAAAATAATAGTGCCGAAACATTTTAAAACCATGCCCCCTCCGCCTCCCACTGCCCTGTTACCTGAACTACAAGAGGCTGGACAAGCCACCATGCTAGACTTCGTAGGCAAGATCTCACAACTGAAGAGTTGGAAGAGTGGCAACCTAGACTCTGTAGGCACTAAACTAGCTGACCAAACTGACGCAGTGTTCCAACAGGCTGACCCCATCACACATTATCTCAACATGAATGGACCTCTAGAGATCTCAGACTTGAAGTGGTACGAAGGAGGAGATGGAACTGAAAAAGTAAAAGTGACAACGTTCGGAGGAGGAGGAAGCAAAGTCGGTACACAGACTGCAATCACAAACAGTAATAACGACGGCTTCGACAGCGACCCACCGCAGGAAGAGGCCGTCTCGCAGGGCATTGCTGTCCAGTGCCTCAGTCTTCCAGCTAAACTTACATTGAAAGATGATTCCAAAGTGACGCATCTATTGCCAACTGAAGACAAGGAACATCTGCTCGTAGTCATATCAAGTATCGAACCAGAGAAGGTCAAGGTAGAGGAGGAGACTGACAATGATGGCGATACCAAAATGGACGTGGACGAATGTGCCGAACCCAGTGATAAACCTAAATCTGACGCGAAGGCTTATTTCATCCTTTATAAAATAAACAATAAGACGTCGATATACACGCTGGAAGACAACCCTGTGGCTTTCAAAGAGTTACCATTCCACGAAAGCCCTGTAGACCTGTGCTTGTTACCGCCTGATAAACAGGATCAGTATTCATTTGCTGCTGTAGGAGTCGACGGTAGCCTAAGGCTGTATTCACTGCCTGACTTCAAGACTTTGTCAGAGAAGCGCGTACCAAAGGGACAGTTCACGTCTGTAGTATTCTGTGCGTCAGTGGAACGGCTCAGTGTGTCTACTAAGCACGGCATGATATACTTCTACGCACTAAACAACGGCGAGAGGGACAACGCAGGGGATATAGACGAAGATGAATTCGCTAACATTGACTTCGACATGTTGCAGCGCGCGCCGCGAGACGAGGTATGTGGCCCGACCCCTGCACCCGTCATCATTGCTAATAAGACTGAACTCGACTTGTCCGACCTAGAGACTTTGATAAACTTGACTGGCTATTATGGTACTAATACAACGGTGCCTTACAGCGCAGTTGTGCCTGGGTTTTGGTGTGAGCTGTCACCTGCACAAAGGTCGAGATCTGATCATCAAAATAATAGGACATGGAGGTTGCAGAACACTTCATCAACGTGGGACGAGCACGTCCTGGAGCTTACATTACCTTACAGTGTCTCACTAGCTCATATAGAGTTTGGATTCACCTTACACTCGGCTTGTTCTGCAAATCTTCCAATCATTCTCGTAACGTTACTGAAACAAAACTTGCACGGTATCGGATACAAGAAAGACGCCTCTTTTGGTCACAGATCGGACTCCCCGATACATTTCCCAGTTATAGACGCGGACATGTCGAATCTCGAGAATCCTGTCAATAGTGAAGAGTACTTACAAGCACATAACGCTGAGATATTGGCGGGACCTTTATTACTGTCTTCTGGACTGGACATGACACAACAATCTGGTACATTAATACTGACGAGCCCTCGGTTATATAGAGCCAGAGGACGGACATTCCTCATTCACATAAAGACACTCTTCGATCCAGCCAAAGACATGAGCAAAAGCACAAACAAAACAGGCGAGACTAGCTCTAAGAAGACCGGTTTCATTGGCTGCGATTGGTTGCACCAGATTTCATTGACAGTCCGCTCTAGTCCTCACACTGACGTAGCTATGGAGAGGCAGCAACGGATAGCTATGTTAGAGTCCAATAGTTTCTTGAATACGTTATGTGAGATATCTGTAAACAGTGCTGACAGTGAAATGAGGAATATTGCGATGGATCTATTAATATGGGTGGTGTCGATACGGCTACAACGGATGCGTTTATCGAAAACCGACAAAGGCAAAGACAAGACAGTGGAGACACAACAGTTAGAATGCGTGAAGATCATTGAGAAACACACAGACGCACTGATCAAGAACTGTATTCTGTGCGCTAACAGAAGTATTGCGAAGAAATGCGTGAAAATTCTTCTAATTACTAGCGAGTAAGTATGATATTTATTTCTTTTTATTTACAAATAATTTGCCCATCTTGTCATATCATCATTAATATAATGATTGCCAATATTATTGTTACTATTATAGGTATTCCATCTTATCTTGTTTCTAACACTCATTTGTAAACATCAACCCAAATATAGTTCATTCACATCGGGGTCACCATGCTGTTTAGATGTTGTCTGGAGGTCCAAATGAAATTAGTCATCATGATCACTTTATATATTTTTGTACCTATCCATTCACATGTAATACAGTCTGATTTCACTTAAAGCGTCCAATATCTTCAGGCAGCTTGACATGGGCTTAAAATCGCTTATATATCTATCTAGTGTTTTTAAATCAGTTTGACCAGTCTTAGAAAGTAGATTCTAAAGACTTTTTTTTTCAGGGGTGAGAAACAACTCCCGAAGCCATGGAAGTCAACGTTCGAGACGACGTTATCGAACAGTGTGTGTGCTTGTATCCCGTACGTGGGCGCCAGCGTGTCTGCGGGCGCCGTGCGCTGGCTGGCCGCGCTGGCGCAGCAGTGCACGGCGCGGGCCATGGCGCCCGCACTCGTCGCCAAGTGCATGGCGCTGCTTGAACGAGCTGCCAAGTGCTTGAGTGACAGACCTGATGTTTACCATAGTCTGTTGAGAGCCAGGTATAGTAAAATACTAGTTAATCATACGTATCTACTATCCATCTCTAGTTCATTGTGTACCTTGTTGTCAACACGGTAGAATAATTTGAATCGACTTTTTAATTTATAAATAAATTGAAATTGACTTTACGTTTATTTTGTTAAAGCATATTTTTACATACGATTTTACTTTCAAATCATAAACAATAAAAATGTTACACAAATACAGAATAGTCTTGAACAACAGAGTTACGACAAACGAAGAAGTTTTTTAAATCCCTGTTTTAGAACACACGACTACCATACTTCTGCGTAGTGAATATGCATTTATTTCCACAGGTTTGGTCTGTACGGTCTTCCATTAGAGCGCACAATATTCGCGACGGAGGTACCGGAGTTAGGGCGCGGCACATCCACCCCGGTAACGTACGCCAGTGTACTGGCTGGCGACACCACGACGCCCCCTGTTCCTAAACCTGACTATCAGCTGAAGGAACTGCTCAACTTACCTTTGGAGATGGGTGAGTTTTGAGTAACAGCTAACTTTTGAAAGTCTAATCAAAGTCAAATTATTTATTACAGTTAATTCGTAATTAGGCAATTATGAAATGACAAAAAATAGAATTCTCCTACCGTCTGACTGTAATTTCAATTTAATGTGGGACATAGACAATGTGTCAAAATTTTATGTTTAGTAAGCAAAAGCAAATCTACGGGTTACTGAAACTGGCTTTCAAAAACTATAAAATAGAAACTGTATTTTGTTGCGGTTGATAAATTCAAAACTGAAGATATAAAGCTTTCCATTATACATTTTTTATGATTTCCTGTGATCTCGTCAAGTATTTCAAACGATACATCTCCAATTGTGAAGGGAACGTATTGGGGGATTTCTATATTTTTGTTGTACATTTAGGTAACTTTAAATAAATCTAATTAGAAATGACACCCTTTAACCAGATGCTAAAAGCGCGAACTCATCGACCGCGTGGTGGGCTCAGAACAACGGTGTTGGCGTGTTCGGCGCCGGGCTGAGTGAGGCCATGCCACTACACGTCACGTGTCACGTGGCCTCGGACGGGACCAAGCTCGAGTCCAACGGGACGCGACATCACTCCGCTGTTGTTAGCTCACTGCCTGGCGCTGGACCCGGAGATCCTAGCCAGGTAATTGGACTTGGTACTTTTTGGACAACCATAATCTTGTCAAGTTAGTCTAACTGTCTGTAAAGGATTTGTAGATTATTATATTTCGAAGTATTGAATACATTAAATATCTCACAATGGAAAAACATTTCGTCTAATGTGGTGCTGTACCATTCATTTCAGTGAACTAATTCAATTTAGCAAATTATTCAACATATCAGTGTAATAATTTTACTTTACTATGGTGTAATTTTCTTCGAAAGTTAACAATATGTTAATCTTTGTTCAGCAACTATGGTCAGTCGTGAAGGAAGGCCAGATGAAGCAGTCTTCGCAAGACCCTGACTCTCTTGAGGACGTTGAGAGCTCCCTCATGGAGTGCGATCCTCAGGATAAGATGGAGTTTTCCGAAGAGAAGCTGTTTAAGGTAAATTTATGTTATAAAAATGTGACTTACGAGTATAGTTACGTAACCTACATTTAGAAAAATATCAATAACATTCACTGTCCTAAGGTGTATGCCATTGCCATCAGTATTATCACAGATCAAAGAAGGAGACTGTTTAACCGACTTCAAAAAAGGAGTTTCTCAGTGTGACCGTATGTTTATACGCGATTATATAGCGATCGGCTGAACCGATTTTGATGCGGTTTTCAGAAAAGCGTTTCTTACACTAAGGAGAAGGTTATAAAACATAATATCACGCCTTTTACTCCCGAAGGGATAGGCAGAGGTGCACCTTATGCCACTGTACAATGTAACACCCACTTTTCACTATTTACGTTATGAGTCCCATGTAATAGGGGGTGAGCCTATTGCCACATACCGGGCATAATTCGAAGAACGTTATAGTATATTAATTACACGACTTCAAAAAGGACGGCGTTGAAGTAACTTTTTTTAACGTCGCTTATACTGGCTTATAGTTTATATTGTTCATAATATCTTTCTTAAGTCTCATGTTATCATCGACATTATTTGTGCTCATAAAATTGTATCAATACGCTTTCTTATGATGGTAGGTATGACACTGTGTACTATGGGTTTTCTCTAAGAGGGTCTACTAGATATACCTTCTTATATAGTCCAGTTTAGTAGTAGTACCAGTTTCTTATAAGCCCGTAGTTCAGTCAGGGAGAGTCACGGGCTATTGATGTTAAGCAAATGTATTGAAGACTATAAAACAATGTGTCCCCCACAGGATCAGGAGCAGTGCGGCATCCCGTGGGCGTCGCTAGTGACGCGCCCCCCGCAGCACACGCTGGTGGTGGAGCGCATGCACTCGGGCGCGCGGCGGTACATCGTGCTCGACTTCGGACACGCCGTCAAACTCACCGACGTGGTATGTGCTTTGAGTATACTTGCCTTTTCTAATGATGCCTTCTGATTTATTTCGGTGCGAGATCCAACGCAGTTGTTCATGTTCCTAAGACGCGTCGACCTTTAATGTTTCAGCATTTTCATGATTATATCTATTGTAGATCATGGTATTCTACTACTACTAATTTAGGGCCGAGTTTTCAGTAATCAGTTAATTTTTATCTGTAGAATAAAATTGATATTTGACAGTTTTTAGAACGGAAAAATTGTCAAATGTTCCAAGTCATTCCTATGTAAAAATTTCAATTAAAAATTCGATATTATTCTTTGGACACAAGCTGAATAGAACTATAGGCTCCGCAATTTTTTTGCGACCGATCAAAAAAAGTTACTATAATTTTGCAGGAGTGGCTTCTTACGTATTCATAAGACTCGTAATATAAAGGTTTTGTCTAACTGTATTCATGTGTTAAATATTCTTACAGATAATCCCATCGTGTTCGGACTTGGTGACACTATGCATAGATATCTGGGTGACTGGCGAAGAGACAGACTGCGTGAAGCTTGCCTTCGCCACCGACATCGCCACCAAACACCTCGTACTTACTGATATACAGCCGCCGCCCATCTGCCGGTATATGAAGGTAAACACCTTAATATTAATTAATACTATCTTTAGAATACCTCTTCGATAAATATTTGTGTTTATTTAGCATAATTTAACAGTGTAACTTGTTAAAATCTTATCATTTATTTCAATTTCAACTTTGCGTTGGGGATAATGGTGATTTTTTCATCTGTTAAATTTTTTCCAAGGAACATCTTTAATCTTTTCTAATTATCCTACAACCGATTTTTTATGAGTCGCACATTAACGTTATAATCTTTATTTTTCACAGATAACCACAATAGGTAGATACGGCATGTCGGCGATGAAGTGCAAGATCCCGCTCGGCTGGTTCTACGGCGAGGTGGCAGAGATCACGCATGTACAACCGAGCATCAACGCGCTCAATGCGCTGCATCAAGACTTGACCTGCCGGTTTAGGTAACATATTAATAATATGCATTGAATGAATATTTTTTTTTAAATTAACTGATCTTCAATATACCTATGTCTTTACAGATTAGCAACCGGTAAACTAATGGATCTCTTAAATCCATACCTCGAACTATACAACGGCAATGCAGCCCATATGATGTCATACATGAACATCAGCAATGACGTAGACGCCAAGGTGGTGACTGCCTACCAGGAGTGCATAGAGCTGCAGCAACAACTCCACACTTGCACCAACATACTTAGAAAGCTACAGAACAATGCTGACGGGCCTAGGAATCTTCCAGAACTTATTGACAAAGGTCTCGTCTCGTCTGAAGCCCTATTAGAATCAGCTTCGACGGATAAGCTGAGAGTCATTAGCGAGACAATTGTGGATATGCTGCTGTATTTCTACTTCCAAGTTGGTGACGTGGTGAGTTAACTTTTTTTGACAGTCTCAAGAATAGTTCTGTCACTACAAATTCTCTATAAAATGAATAAATAATAGCACGACTTTTAGTATAACTTAAATTGGGTAGTATTTAAGTACTCAGGCATTGGGTAGTGAATAACAGCTGAACGGAATGTGTTTGTTGTTTACGTCGGTTGGTCAGTGTAACGTTGTATGTGCAGCAATACCCCGAGGTGAGCCGCGAGTGGTGCAGCGTGGTGGTGGCGCAGGTGTGGGAGTGGGGCGCGCGCGGCGCGGGCGCGCTGGCCACGCTGCTGGCGCGCGCCGCCGGCGGCCACGACTGGTGGGGCGGCCTGCTGGGCGACACGCTGACGCAGGCCTTCGCGGCCTACGACGCGCCGCCCGCCGCGCTGGACCGCGTGCTGGTGCTGGCCGTGTACATGTGCCGGCGCTCCGTGTGGGCGGGCGCGGCCGACGCGGGCCCGTGCGCGGCGCTGGCCACGCGCGCGCTGGAGCTGCTGCGGGCGCCGCGCGCGCAGCCCGCCGTCACCGCCGCGCTGCTCAGCGCGCTCGCCGCCGTGCTCGACACCGTCGCCGCGCACAACGACAAGTACGCCAGGTACTACCGCACTCCGACACACTATTCACTTTTTAATTCAATTCTAACTAACAACTACATAATTTCATATTCAACAACATGGCATGCCTACGGTCAAAGTGATATTGCATATACTAAAAATGTTTTTACTCTGAATTTCTTTTCCATCAATTTGTATTGTTTCGTAGATGGGACTGGGTGACGGGTGGACGTGCTGGCGGCGCGGCCCCGGGCGTGGACGCCCAAGGCTCGCCGCGCAACAACGAATGTAAGTTGCACCGACGCAAGCTGCACAAGAAGCTGCTGCACCAGATGCAGGAGCTAGAAGCTGCTAGGAGGGGTATACAAGTCGCACTTGAAGATCAACAGGTAACTTGAGATATAATGTTAGATTTCATATTGATATTCTTTACGCACTGATTGTTATTGAACATTGTTTCATTTGCAATTTTTTATGTATAAAACAGTTCAACAATCATATCAGCTTCATCATAACTTTCATTATACTTATTCATTTATTTCCTACTTAATGCACATTTACGGGTAAGCTTGTACCAGATACCAAGCACTGAGTGAAGTATTTGTTTATTGGTGCAGCGAGCCCGCCTCAATCTCAAGGCGCGCATGGCGATGGTGGGCAAGCGCGGCGCGTCCCGCGGCGAGTCGCCTGGCGGGCCGGAGTCGTGCCGCCTGCGGCCGCTGCCCACGCAGCTGGCGGCCCGCCTGGCGCACGCCCTCGTCGCGCACATGCTCGCCGCCGACACTTGCTCGCAGGCCGACGCGCTCATGCTCGCCGCCAAGGTATGCTTATACAGAAGGCCTGATTGCTCACCCCCAATTTTCAAATTCTCAATCTTTAAATAGCGGGCAACATACTTCTCCTCCGTGCCGTGACACGTCTGGTGTCGTGGCCGAAAGAAACATTCTCTCCAATGCCAAAATTTCTAATCCTCAAATCGGTAATCCCTTTACCTCACTTGTAAATCTTTTGGTGTTACTGCTTACAATCAGCTGGATTAGATTGCCTCATTTGCCACTCTGTCTCTAAAAAACAATCTACCGATAATACATTGGTCATCCTACCTTGAAATTAAACTTTTTCCTGTTTATTTTGAAACAGGTAGTGGGAAGGCTCTGTGCACTATCTGGAGGTGCAAGCCTGTTGGATCCATCATGTATCCTGGGCCTGGCCCGACTCGCTGTGACGTTGCCACCCTGGCCACGTCATGCACTCACCACCTTACTGCAGGTATGTACCGTGTTAAGTGTATCTTAATAAAACACTACCATATAAATTAATTATTAAAAAGGGTCAAATTAAAAACACTCGCAATCAACAAGAATGCCTGACGTGATGAATGTAAATGAAACAAAAGAGGTTTGCCTGTATCGCGTCATTTGCCAGTGGAGACAGACGATACATTTATGTTTGTAGTCTGTTTAAGTAAATGTCTCTGAGTCCCAATTTCTTTCTGTTCTGAGACTATTTCCCCCATTATTTACCAGGACCTAGTCGAATACGAGTCCGGCGAATCCCCGTCCAGTCCTCCGAACGAGGAGTCGTGGACCGCCGGCGCCAGTTCCTCCCGCGTTATACGCGTGCACTCCATACCGCCAGGCTCCGCGCCCGGGGTCAAGGCGCGCAAGTTTAAAGGACCCACTGTCGCAGGTTTGTTATCCAATAACTATTTTTATTAGTTAATTTACGGACAAACGCAAGACTTTGCAGGTGTTGGTTCCGGAAACAATCTTTACTTTGTAAATAAGTTTATATTATGGAAAGTGCAAATATTTATTTAGCTACCAACAAAGTCTTGCTTTTACTCTATTAAACAACATCTATAATTATTTAGGTATGTATAATTATCATAGAAGTTGTTATGTGTTATCTAACCCCATTAATTATGCATTAACGCGTCGTATGTACTTGTCTATACTCAATTAAAAGAAAATGCTGGCATTGAATGCAAGTTGAGACTTGCAAAACACTGAGGTGTTTAGCAGAGGTTTATATGTCAATGTTTTTATTACTAGAAAGACATTCTTCAGGTGAATAAAGATATTTTCGTTGGATATAGTGTAACAACGAATGATTCGACTGTTTTGTACACTTCATAGTATGTTATTCTTTTAAATATGGTGTTACATGCACATACTGTTATATTGAATAAGTAATAAGACAGAATAATCTAGAAATATACAGTTTTGTTTAAAGTTGCAGAAAATTCACAATTAATTTGTATAGGGTACCTGACCAGACATCCTGTGTTTCAGGCGAGATTAGATATTATAATAAAAATTCTTAAATAATCATAAGTATTTTAATGCTAATAAGTTAACGTCCGAATGCTGAAGGGCTACTCAATTTTAAGTCGCGCTTAAGTATAGTTCTATCACTACAAGTTCTTTGTAAAATGACAGAGATGGCACGATATTTAAGTACAAGTGAAAATAGCCTTACCATATTTGGGTGTAAGGTAAGGTAATGATTAGCTAATACATACATTGTAGGTTTTGAGCACATAATTTTATTGAATAATCTAGATACTATCGTGGAACATACTAAATTAACTAAAAATCGCGGATTACTCACGTGAATATACTGAGAAAAGCTCTACTAGTTTCGATCAGTGGGCTGCGTGACATCGCCGCGACCGCGCACGCTGCTCATGAGGAGGAACCCCTCTGTGGTTCGAAACTAGTAGAGCTTTTCTCGGTATATTCACGTGACTAACCCGCGATTTTTAGTTAATTCAGATACTGTTCTATATGTAGTGATCAACTGAACAATCATATCAATGGTGTACATTTGTAAATCGGTTTTCACTTTCCATTTAGTGTTCTATAGGCTCACATCCCATAACGCACGAGTTTTATACACTATACATGTGCCATGACCATTTGTGATTAACTAAATGTAATGGCCAGTCCCAATAACCTAAGTATCAGTAGATTTAGCTACTAAAGATGGATATTTTGACATAAATTCCATACAAAACGTTGTCTAAATACTGTTTCTAGTACGCAAGTCTACCGACATATTGTAATTGAAACTGACTGTGACATGTCTTTGGTCTTTTTCCAATCATGTGGATGTGTGTTGTTTGAATTTGTGAACATTAAGGATCAAGCAGACCGGATGCATATACGTAGATTGTACGAAACACAGGTTGCTTTCGTAACGTAGACGTGCGCGTCGACGTACAATTCCATACATTAGAACTCCGTTGTACGTAGAGCCGTATTATCCTTCACGCAAGTGTCTAAAGCGCCAGGTACACACAAACACATACACACTAGTGCACAACTCCCCATAGAGAGGCGCTAAAAAAATTAAGGGCGCCTATGAGGTACTTGCCTACGGTGCTTTTCAGGTTCAATCCCCTATCTGTAAGTCTACGCATACGCATTTGCTCAGCCTTTATACAGGATATCCAATATGCCACAATCAACCGGGTTATGATGACGTCCTAAAGCCAGAATGGTTCCATTGAGGGAAAGAAACAGAGCTATACAAGTCGTCTAGCGAGATCTCGTTCCCTCAGCGGAACCGCTCTAAGACGTCATAATACGTCATCTGTCCACAAAGAAAATGTGATGTTCATATGTATGCTATGGTTGCAATATGAATATAGGTGTTGTATGCTAGAAGAAAACTAGTTTAAACTGTAAGAAAATCTCTTGCATGTGGCGATCCTGTGTAATTTTATTTTAAAAATTCAAAACACTAACCGCTTTATGGGAAAATGGACCTAATATTTCTACAAATCAGTGAAAACCGTTTAGTTCTAATGCAGGGACGTTAATCTTCGATTAGGAAACCAAGGCTATTATTATATTTAACGAAATATAAAGCAATAGTTTACAAAATTGTTCATAGGAGTGATTGATTTCGGACTTATCGGATAAGTAGAAGTAAATTACATTTTTTTTTTTCGATATGTAGCAGAATTGACTTGCTGTGTTATTATTGCAGATTTGTTAGCGGATAGTTTTGGTCTGGGGAAGACTACGTACTTCAAGCCCAAACTATTTACCACAGCAGGTGTCAATTTAGCAAGTAAGGCCATTATACTAAAATAACCAGTGTTAATGTCTGTATGGTCATTGACCGGGCTTAGTTCGGTTTGCACTGATATGTAGTGTGATAGGAAGTAACAGACCACACCTAACCGCTACACATATTTGCATTGCATAGCACATTTCTAATCGATTTCAATAATTTAGAATCGATTTAGAAATCGAATGCGCTAGTCATCATAGAAGTTTAGCGTTGTTATTATTATTTTTTTTGCTTTGTTTTTTATACTACGTATGGGCTTATTTGCTAGCTCTTTGGGCTTTTAAAATGAGAATTGTCTAATGAAATTGTAAGTGTTTCGCAATAGAAAGTGAACCTCAAACATTTGCGCTTTGTATATTATCATATTTAATACTCGTATATTATGAAGCACGCTTGAATACAAACATTCACCATTATATTAGCTTTAAATTGTTATCAGTATCCAATAAAAGTAACTCTCACAGAATAAGAGCTACTTTTTATAAAAAATCTACTTTTATATAAACAAAAGGAGATGATGGTTTGACAAATTGTGTAGACGCACGAATCTGGCAGTTTAATCTTATTTTTATCTTGGGATAAAAGTATCGATATGTCGTTGTTTCATAAGAAGTGCCTTCACTGTATGTTTAATTATTTTTCGGCTTGCTTTCGATAAAATTGAATACAATATTGCATGCAGTAATTACTGGTGTTCTACTGAATGAATATTTTAAGATATTCACAGTGGGACACTATAATCATATCCCTAAGTAATTGGATAATGGATAGCTCGAATTATAGTGTAATTACACTAAGAATATGGAGCGATATGTAAGCCCAGTGATTAGCCGTCATGAACTAAGTGCAAAGTTGTTGGACTACACTGCACGGAACTGGCTAATACTGATTTCAATGACCAATATTAATCCAAAATTGGATCGGATCTTGATTTTTGACAGAAATTCTATCTAATGATTTTGAATTGAGATCTGTTATTGAAATTGACAGTAAGTAGATTGCAAAATCACTTGCAATTTAAGATTTGAAGCAGGGTCGTACTGGACCAGTTCAGGAGTTTTGTTCAAGAGGGTCGAAGGCAGAGAAGATAATCAAGTAGTGACCTGTTGGATACTTAGATAAATCTACTTGGAGTTTGTGCTGGCCAGAATCGGGCTGGAAATCAACATTCTAACCACAAAACTGAATGTCAGGTTAAAAATAGACAATTCATCTTTTATTATAAAGAAAACGAATGTCATATCAAGTTACTGCATACAATAGTGTCAAGCAATTTAAAGTAGGTAAATAATGTAAGTTCATAAATAAATGTAAAGTTTTTCTGTCCTTAAGATATCGACGTGGAGGAACAGCTAACGCAAGTGGCTGAATCTGACGACTCCGAGTCTTCGGAAGAGAAACTCGAACAATACTTCAATGACGCTGTCAAGAAGGAAACCAGGACTAAACTCGTCGTGGACAATAGCACCAGGTAAGTTGTTATGCTATGTTTATAGCTAACTTTGTAGTACCTATGTTTGTTAGCCTTGGTTATCTTAATCTTAATGGAATATTTTAGGCTATGTTGGAGGGAACCACCATGGTAGTTAACAAGTAAATTCTTCATTGTTAAAGTACTAGACTTTTTTTAAGTGTATAAAAATAAGGCTTAGACTGTACGACAGTCGCGGGCAACCTAACGGGTTACCGGGGCTTCGGTTCGAAGCGCAGGAGAAGAAATGGTGTGGTCCACCCAGGCGGGAGCAGTCATTCGACGATTTTCCCCCTTAAAAAAAAGACTGTACGACAGGACTAATAATTTCTTATGGTTTTCGAAGCATATTCTGGGCACATTCTTCGTTGATACCTCTTCATATGTTTGATTAGACCCCTTCGTTACAGTAACGTGTCAGTATGTTGGGACGCGCGTGTGGAAGCCGGTGGCGGTGGGTGCGGCGGCGCGGGCGAGGCCCACGCCCGGCGCGCCCTGCTCGGCACCGCGGGGGCACTAGCGGCCGCCGTGCGCGCCCCGCCCCGCGCCCCCGCCCCCACGCGCCCCGCCTCCTCCGCACAGGCCCCATCCACCACTCACACACACGCTCTACGATGTATTCAGACACCTGGCGCTAGAGTTCCATTATCAGGTAACTGAAAATTGTATTAATCCTACATTTCATGTCTCAAGTCCTTTAAAATTGACACTTTTCGTAACTATAAGTTATAAGAAAGAACAACTTAGGTACTAACTTTAAACGTCTATTCACAGATGGACTGCACATTCATGGAGAACGTGATCTCCTTGTGGCTGACGTTGAACGGGTCGGCGTGGAATGGCGGCGCCTGGTCGCTGGCCACGCTCGCCGTGCCCGCGGACACGCCGCGTATACGCCTCGCTTCCGACACCGTTAACGCACTACTGCATTCACTTTGCACGTTAGTATACGCTTATAGTGACCATTTTAATCTATCAACTATCTCTTAATTAAAAGTTACTTAGCTCGAGGGACGACTGAGATTACAGTTAGGTGACACTTATAAGTTGGTTCATCAACCCAAGATGACGTTAAGTGTCACCTATCTTAGCTTAGGGCTTCCTTAAAATTAGTATTCTTACATAAATGTTAGATAACGTTAACTCATTTACCATAAGGATACTAAAGCAGGAGATCACCTGATGGTATTCGGTTTGGTTTCTTATTCCTCTAATGGCTTTCATTTTTTTAACAGGTTAGAGAATATTTCATTAAGATGCTGGGTGCTATCCATGCAAGCTTTGGCTTGGATTGCGAGCTTGCCATTACAGGTATACATTTTTATTTTTAACTTTACCGCTTTGGTGTAAAGTCGACATTCTATTGAAGAGAATACATTCAACTAAGAGTGGTGTTTATTTGGAATTTTATTTAACAATCTATGTTTGTCTGTAGACTGAAGGCAGTAGTACCCAGACGATGGGTCGCGTGATACTGGAGTGCGAGCACTTCGTCCCGGCCCTCGTCAAGTTCATCACCATGAATGTCAACACTGACGGCGCCGTCGCTTCCTCCGAACCTTATTTGGTAAGTATTGAAGAACATTTTAAGGTTTTTGTATTATTTATTTGTATTTAATATCTCTAATAAATTACTAAGTATTAAATTAGTAAGTATTGTTCTGTTCGTATTACGTTTGTATTTTTGTCGAGAGACGAGTATTTAGTAGCCTTCTCACACTTCTGTCCCAAAGTCGAAGCGAGAGATAACTATTATATTATAAAAAGTTGCTACTTGACTAAAATACTAGCGCAGCGCGAATAGAATCTTAAGTAATTAAGTAGTAGTAATAGTAGAGTAGTTTAGTAATTTAAATCTATGCTTATACTCGTTTTGAGGAGTATTTTAGACTCCCGGTTTTACTCGAAACTGGTCGAGCAATCTCTGAAAAAATTTTCAAAACATTTACTTTTTCTCAAATTATTCGTGTACAAATCATAAATCGGTGTTTATATTTTTGAGAATTTTGTGTGAAGAAAATGTTGATGTATGCAGGGCGGCGCGCAGATCGGCGCGGGCGCGGGCGCGGCGTCTGCGCTGCACTCGGTGGTGTCGCGCGTGGTGTGCGCGCGCGGCGCGGGCGGCGCGCTGGCGGCGCTGCGGGCCGTGTGCGGCGTGTGGCGGCGCGACCACGAGCCCGGCCACGCCTACGACCTGCAGGCCACGCTGCTGCGCCTGGCGCACCCCATGCTGCAGGTGCTCGCCGCGCGGCACGTGCACCACGCGCTGCCGCTGCTGCACACTGTCGGTGAGCGCGTGCCTTGGAATACGACACCTTCATAAAACTGCTCAACTGGACTACGGATCACTCATTAGTGAATAATCAGAAGGCTTAATACGAAACCGAACGCGTACTCGTTTCGAATAATTTAAACGTAAATCAAAATCGTACTAAGCCCTCAGCGCCGCCTATGGATAACTGTACCGCTAGAAAAAGGAGTTACAAATCTGCTACAGTGTTACCAGCCTTTTGGGGAGAAACGGAATAAGACTGTGTATACCGTTACTGTTTCTCATTCAAAAGGGAATTAGCTAGTGTTACATCATTGACCATTCAGTTATTGGCATATTTGAATTTGGTAAATCAAAGCCATCTCGGAGCTTTTGAATCCAATTCCGATTGATCAACATTGATATTGTGAAACTTTGTACTCAAGTTGCAACACTAGCGGCCATTGCATCCATCATTGCGTAATGGATGGAAATTGAATGAACTAAACGGTATTGAGTTTGACTTTTTACTCCGTAGTCTGAATACTGTTTTAACAACTTCGATTGTGGTTGTATAATTTTGACATTGAATAATTATTGAAATTATATTGGATTGAAATTAGGTTGACGTTGAGATTAGGTACAAGAGTAAAGAAAGAAAGAAAAACATTTATTTAGCACCAGGCGTGATGCAGCATAAATAAAAAAGACAATCAAGGTGTGACAGTGGAAGTAATAAAAATATAATAGTAAGGGGTCTGGTGTTTGACAAACGGTATCCTCCATTGTGTGACTGGGCTTTTAAGAAAATATGTTTAGAAAAGTACCGCGTGGTTGCAGCGCACCAGTCGGTATGGTGGGTCCGCGAGAGCAGCGGCTGGCGCGGCGCGGGCCCGGCGGAGGCGCGGCTGTCGGGGCTGCTGGCCGACGTGCTGGCGGGCGGCGGGTCGGGCGCGGCGCGCCGGGCCCCGCTGCGGCGCGCCGTGCTGGCGCAGCTGCTGCACTACTGCCGCAAGCTGCTCGCCGTGCCACTGCCGCAGCAACAACCCGCCAACGTACGTACTCATATACCAACGATAACCTGACAACTAATGTAAATAAATGACTGCATAGTTGACGCTGTGTCTGGGCAACTGGCTGCCGCGCAACATGTAACAGGTTCGATTCCCGCTCGGAACAACTCTTTGTGTAAGCCACAAATTATTGTTTCGGGTCCGGAAGGTTATGCGTATTTGAATGTTTGTAAACGCACCCGGCACAGGAGAAAATCCTAGTGTAGGGTAACGTTAAAAAACCATACGTACTCTATACTTTATCTCATAAACTGGAATAAATACTCCACGAGTTACCAAACTTTACTGCATTAGGCGCCGAACGCGGTAACCTTTCAATCTCGTTAAACGTAAAACAACCTCGTTCCTAGCCATCAGAACAGTATAATGGTCCAAAAGAAGTATTCATCAAACAATATTACACTTTGTCACTTGTAGCATTGTCCTACTTCACCTGTATAAACACAAACATATATAAATATTTTTGTTCTCATAAACATTTAGACTGCACGGTTGGTGCGGTGGCTGGGCAACCGGCTGCCGTGCAACGTGTCGCGGGTTCGATTCCCGCACGGAACAATACTTTGTGTGATCCACAAATTGTTGTTTCGGGTCTGGGTATGACACCCAGACCCGAAACAACAATTTGTACAATAGCCACACTATATAGTAACTTTGACTGCACGGTTGGTGCGGTTGCTGGGCAACTGGTTGCTGTGCAACGTGTCGCGGGTTCGATTCCCGCACGGAACAACACTTTGTGTGATCCAAAAATTGTTGTTTCGGGTCTGGGTGTCATGTGTATGTGAACTTGTTTGTTTGTAAACGCACCCACGACACAGGAGATAATCCTAGTGTGGGGCAACGTTTTTTTTTAAAAAAAAAAATGAAACTAAGTAAACTAAGAGTAATAATAAAAAAGTAGCCAGCATATTGGGGTCTCCTATATCAATTTTGACGAGGAACTGGAGTAATCGAGTTCCTCATCAACCAGTTACGTGAGTGAGCCGAAAACGTAATAATTAATTTAGTATGTTCTGTCCTATATCTTTGAAAAACAATCACATATTATGATAGGCAAGCTTCAACTTTATTCTGTACCCTAAACACTTTTTTAAAACAAACAAGATTTAAACGCCTTAATAGGGGATTCCCAGAATTCTACATAAATATTTGTAAATGAACAACAGTTGCTTACATTGACATTGTATTTGTGATTCACTGTGGTATGTGTACTAGTACAGTAGTACTCTGTTATTCTAAAAACTGTTTGATAAAATTGTTCCCTGTGCCAGTTAGAAATCGGTTAGTCTAGTTGCCGAAATGGTATGTACAGGTTCTGTCTACTTAAAAACATTAACCATTTGTTTTTCAGTCATTGTATGAGAAAGAGGTCTTGAAACATTTTGTTATGTATTATAAAAGTGTTAATTTCTATAATTCTATGTATTTTTCCTGTTAGATTCCGGTTAAAATATTTTTATAACTTATTAGTTTGCAAGCATTATTGAAAGTTAGTCATTAGTTTATGAATTAGTGAATGTAGTTACGTGCAGAGCAAGAATCTCCAATAGTGGCGTAACTACAGGGTGGCAAGTCGACAAAATGCCACGGACCCGGAGCTGGGTGGGCCTGGGGTCCATTTTCAGAGATTCTGAACTATTCTTTATTGTATTGGGAAAAGGGGCTTATCAAGTGAATTTATCTCGGGCTCCGAACGGGGGCAAAGAAACAGAGCCACTAATTTCATTTTATCTTACATTACCTTTTAAAAAATATCATTTTCACAACAAAAAGCTCTCATTCTTGAAGTAACTAAACTGCCTTCTATACGACATACGTTATCAATTATTAAAGTACTTGTATCTGAAAATATTTCTCAAGAAATGAAAAAGACAATAAGCTAATGGCTCCTTTTCTTTGCTACCAAGTGTAGTTACGCCACTGATCTTCAATATAACATTACAATATCCATAGTTTCACTGTTTAAATACATACATAACATCACGCCTTTTATCCCCGAGGTGTAGGTGCACATTACGGCACTTAATGCCACTGTACAATGTAATACCCACTTTCACTATTTATGTTATGAGTCCCATGTAATCGGGTATGATCCTATTGCCATATACTGGGCACAATTCCAGGCTCCGTCCTACCACTGAAAAAAACCCAGTATAATTTCGACGAGGCAGTCACACTATTCCGTTCAAATAAAATATAGTATAACATAATAATATTTCCACAGTCATCATCAAGCCCATCAGTATCTACGAGTGGAGAGCAATCCCAGTCGCAGACAGATGAGAGCAAGGCCCAGAACAGTAACACGGCTGAAGCCACCAACGTTGAGGACGAGAGGAAGCAACAAGCCGCGCGGACGCCGTGCTTCGCTGACACTGGTGAATGTTTTACTAAATTATCATGACATTTTAACTATGCAGTTAAAAAACTTTAAAAATACGTGTCTACTGTCGGAATACTGAAACGTTACTAAATTTTAAGTCGCGTTTAAGTATAGTTCTGTCACCACTAATTCTTTGTAATAGACAGAGATGGCACGATATTTAAGCACGATTTAAAGTTGAGTAACGTTTCAGTATTCCGGCGTACG